CGATTCTGCAACTTGGGAAATGCTTCAGCTGGAAAAAACAACTCTCTACATTTTTCGCTTTACATCACATAGGCGGCAAAAGAAACATGAAGAAGCTTTTAGGTATCAACAGTAGATCAGTAATAAAATTACAACTATGATCGCACTACTATGTTCACAATCGCTTAATTGATTTAGGCCCGGCACTGAAACATCGAAACTGACTTTGTGTCCTGAGAACACAAACACTGCTGATATGGATCTCCACAAAACCTCTTCTGATATAAATTCATATGCAAATACATATGTGAAGTATCCTGCTGAGCTGCTTCCACGCAGACTAAATTTTACTCTTTTGAAAATGTCATTTCAATTACGTTTCAGAAATAAAATGTGCAAATAACTATTGGATTAGAAATAAAAACTGATAGAGATTACTTTGACTTTCAACCATTCATTCTTTCATAACACCACTAACATATATTGCAAATTCTCTGAATTACTGAATAATGAATAAACAAAGAAACATGTAACATTGATCAACTGCACGCAATAATCCTTTATATTAAATAAAACAAGTTTAGTTACCCTCCCTTACATCGTATTTCTATCAACAATATATATGAATAAATAAATTCATATATATATATATATATATATATATATATACATGCAGACCACTATTGATCACAAACTTATTCATCATACATCATATACATGTATAATTGAGTTCATACACATTAAACTAACAAGACACATTGCCAAAATGCGGGCGAAGTCTCACTCTAGCTCTCTTTACTCAAATAAAACAATAATTAAGAACAAATAGATAACAATTGTCAGTTAAGCATGTAAACAAATAGTTGGTGTTGAACAAATTTACAATAACATATTATTCAAACAATTCATACACATGAACCATTAATAATCACTCCCCTCATATTCAACCTCACTTCTCCCAATCGCTATATTTAAACAACTTTCGACAAACAAATCAATGTGATGTAAAAATATGTTTTTGCGTGGTAAACGATGTTTTGGATATTTATGGAGCAAATACATTTCGTAAACTCATCAAGTAGTTAACAAATATATTAGTCAATAATCCTAATAACAATTGAAATTTGAATAAATGTTCAGATTATTAGATGAAGCCTAGTGAGAGTATAAAGAATGAGATTATTCTATTTATATGTTGAACACTCTTGGATCAGATCGATTAATCCTCTGTTGGTAGTATCAATAAATAAATTGGTTGATAATCACATAAAGACTACTGATATGGCTGTTAACAATGAGGAATAAATATGGCATTCTGTGGATCTCATTCAGAAATGTAACACCGAAACAGTTCCTGGTCGATCGAATAACAGATTTCGGTGAAATGCTTTCCGATTGTATTGTAATATTACAATCTGATCAATATTGAATATTAAACACAAAAATAGAGCATGAATACCTAGTTAGTACATTTTTACTCTCATTTAAGCAATATTCAGTGTTTCAGTACTGCTAAGTTCAAATTATACCAATCTGATTGTTAGCCTAACTGTAAAACTAATCATGAGTTAGTATATTTAGGTATCAATTTGAGGAATAAATATGGCATTCTGTGGATCTCATTCAGAAATGTAACACCGAAACAGTTCCTGGTCGATCGAATAACAGATTTCGGTGAAATGCTTTCCGATTGTATTGTAATATTACAATCTGATCAATATTGAATATTAAACACAAAAATAGAGCATGAATACCTAGTTAGTACATTTTTACTCTCATTTAAGCAATATTCAGTGTTTCAGCACTGCTAAGTTCAAATTATACCAATCTGATTGTTAGCCTAACTGTAAAACTAATCATGAGTTAGTATATTTAGGTATCAATTTGAGGAATAAATATGGCATTCTGTGGATCTCATTCAGAAATGTAACACCGAAACAGTTCCTGGTCGATCGAATAACAGATTTCGGTGAAATGCTTTCCGATTGTATTGTAATATTACAATCTGATCAATATTGAATATTAAACACAAAAATAGAGCATGAATACCTAGTTAGTACATTTTTACTCTCATTTAAGCAATATTCAGTGTTTCAGCACTGCTAAGTTCAAATTATACCAATCTGATTGTTAGCCTAACTGTAAAACTAATCATGAGTTAGTATATTTAGGTATCAATTTGAGGAATAAATATGGCATTCTGTGGATCTCATTCAGAAATGTAACACCGAAACAGTTCCTGGTCGATCGAATAACAGATTTCGGTGAAATGCTTTCCGATTGTATTGTAATATTACAATCTGATCAATATTGAATATTAAACACAAAAATAGAGCATGAATACCTAGTTAGTACATTTTTACTCTCATTTAAGCAATATTCAGTGTTTCAGCACTGCTAAGTTCAAATTATACCAATCTGATTGTTAGCCTAACTGTAAAACTAATCATGAGTTAGTATATTTAGGTATCAATTTGAGGAATAAATATGGCATTCTGTGGATCTCATTCAGAAATGTAACACCGAAACAGTTCCTGGTCGATCGAATAACAGATTTCGGTGAAATGCTTTCCGATTGTATTGTAATATTACAATCTGATCAATATTGAATATTAAACACAAAAATAGAGCATGAATACCTAGTTAGTACATTTTTACTCTCATTTAAGCAATATTCAGTGTTTCAGCACTGCTAAGTTCAAATTATACCAATCTGATTGTTAGCCTAACTGTAAAACTAATCATGAGTTAGTATATTTAGGTATCAATTTGATTTCTTTCTAAAGTTAAATAAATCCATATCAGCAGTAGTTGTGTTCTCACTACGCATCGCAAGAAAATATTCAGTATAAACGGCTGTGTTTTGTTCTCCGAGCTAGATAGTTTGGTCGTGGAGCTTCCGATACACGTGAGTCTCCAGTTTTCCTGTGTTGGTTCTAGTGATTAGTATATCCAAGAATGATAGTTCATTGTTCGACTTCTGTCCGATTGTGAACTTTATGTCATCGAAGTTGTTAGTCAGATTCTAGCTCGTCCTTTTTGACACTGACAAATATGTCGTTCACATAACAAATCCTAATTTTTGGTTTGATCGCTGGTAAGATTCAGGCTTCCAGTTTCTGTATCATTGTTGAGATCTTGGATAGATGGAATACTAAAAACACCAGAGAATTTTAAGGAACTTGAGACTCAGGTCGATCAGTGATCAATAAACATATTAAAATCGATCTAATCTATCAACCAATCAGAAAAATCATGGACAAATATAGGACCAAGAATCAAATCAACGGGGGATACAATCAAAATAAAGAAATGAACAATGACAGCTTACAAGTCAAGAAAGCCAATCAAGATCGGGTTTCACAGGACAAATTGTGAGTCATATGTGGAGGAATTCGAACACTTCACTTCTACCTGAAGTTTGTGTTGACGATGTCGTTCAGAAGAACAAAAAAGCTCCACGACCAAACCATTCTAGCTCAGAGAACAAAACTCCACCAAAATCACTCATCTGAGTTACAAATCTTCTACGCCATCTCAGAACAGCTATGTATTATTTCCTGGATATTTTAAGATTGTAAGGAATCTTGTCTTTATAAAGCAGAAATGACATTTGGAAACATTAGTTTTTTTCATTTCTTTCTGTGTATATTTTACTATATAGGTTACATAAACCATTTTACTTTAATATGGTTCATTATTTCTGTTGTGAAATATTTTTGATTTATGTAAACTCTGCTCACTGGCTATAATATCCCTTTAGAATCGAAAGTGAATTTAACTTCGTTGTTGACTCGTCTGTATACAATAGTCGCAGGGGATTTTTCACGTTGTAAATATGATCGTTTTATATTAAAATAGCTAAAAGAAATTTGTTTAATGCAATTAAATCTACATTCAGGAAAATTTAAACATGAAACAATTATTTCTTGAATTTTTAACTCAGTATTGTTTAATATTTCTTTGAACTTGAACCTAATTCATAATGTTCATACCGATAAAATCAATCTTATTTAACTGAACAGTAGAAAACTCATAAATTGATGATCAAATTAAGTCAAGATATAAGTCCATACATAACGTTTATACTTATTTGTGAACTAGCTTTACCTTAACTAGTATATATATCGATGATAATCTAAAAATTTTAATTGTACTTTTCTGATTCTGATATTAACTGTGTTGGAAATGGTGTTCATTTCGTACCATTTATTTAGAAAGTTAAAGTGTTTAGTACAATACTAAGGCTACTACGTAAATTACGGGAAGATTTATAGCTTTGCCTTGAAAGAAACTCATCTTTCAGTTTCTCTTGGTTCTTGAGACTCGATTTATGACATGTGTATGATAATCAACTTTGACAAAAACTGTCGATTCTATCTGTTCTCATGCAAAGCAATTTACTTTCACCAATACAGTAAAATACTATGCGTTATCAGTCATAACACTGAATCATTCTAGTAAAGAGTATACAGAACATAACACTTGTTGAGACATTGTCACTTTAACAGGCCAGTGAAGTTCTTGACGCTCTCATTTTATTATTAGTTAATCTTAAATATTAGTATGAGAATTTGTGGAGGTTGTGGTATTTTCGCAATTGAAATTACGAGCTGATCTAAAGTAGACCACTATTGAAAAGCTGGAAGCACTAGACGGCAATGGATGAAGGGTTCCACAGGACCATGGATCGATTGGAGCTAGATATCAACACTATTGGATAACGAGCCAGTAGTCTAGAGGTTAAGCGTTTGTACGCGAGACCGAAGGTCCTTGGTCCGAGTCTCACGTGTGGATCGTGTAGTTTTGATCTAAAAAATTTTCGTTGAATTGGACAGAAAAAATGTAATGTGGAGACCAAAGCACCTGTCATAAAACATTTCCATAAAAGCTAGTGTAATTAACTAACATAACAACATCGGACAGTGTTGGACTTCTTGAAATGTTTTGTACGACTTAAGAAATTTTGTGAAACCTCATGTTACAACACAATTTGTTGGTCCGAAACCTACATACACCATTTACTCCTAAGCTATATATTTATGATAGTCCCATGTAATAGTGTTAATTTGGTACACAATATGCAATACACCAAACAGCTGAATCATTGGGTTTTTTTTCAACAAAAAGTATTACACTAGCACAACCACAGTTAAAAAAACACAAATAGTAGGGCAAAGCAAGATAAGTGGAAATATAGAGCAAAGATAAATAACAAAACAAAAAATTAAAAACTATTATTCTAAAATAAAAATACTGATGATAAAACACATCGTAAATAAAGCTGAACAAGGATAGAACATATAGATACATACTTTGAGAATAGGGCTTGGAAAATAAAGATTCATCAGTCATAAACATCAACAACAACTAAATCATCAAAGCACATTGTAGTAGCACGAAAAACACTTTATACATAGATAAAGAACGAAATAACTAAAATACAATTCAACAAAAAAGAACCAAAACGACAAAATGGAATGATTTGAAATGTTTACCAAAACGACGATGATGATGACGACAATGTTATGCAAGATGTATCCAATTAACTTTAAGAAAAGTTTGTTTTACACTTTTTCATTTCATTTGTAATCTGATGTATATTTACCAACTGATTACGTATAGGCATATTTTTGTAGGGACTTTGTGTCATCACTTTTTGAAAACGATGGTAATGTTGAATAAGTTGAGCAAGTAAACCCTATAAAAAGAGTAAATTTATTGATACTAAACATAATAAGATTTTATGGTTGAAACATTTTTAAAAAAATATTAAAATTCCGTAGTCAGTTCTCATCTGCATGTACCGCGGATCTTTTAAATACCCATCAAAGTTACTTATCAATATGAAAAACGGTACGACCTATAAAAATTATCAAATAGGTGTTTATCTCACAGCAGCGACACGTAGCACAAGTGTGATCAACGCTACCAACTGATAGGTTCCAATTAAACAAATGATCCAGGTGAGAAACAATCGCTTATATACCAAACTGCATACATTATGTTTAACAGATAGGCTACAGAAGCTTATAGCTATATGTGGTCATAACTAAATGATTACATTATATAATTTACAGTTCATTAAACCAGTAGGTTGAATGGGTGCAGATTCTCGACGAAGCCAACAATCACTGTGAGTCCCAAATGTTTTTTACGAAAACCCTATAAAGTAAGTATTTACAATTTCTTGCAACAGACGAATGTTTGAATTTTCGCAGATTCCTGGGATTCTAACACTATACCGAACACAAAAAGTATAGATTCAAAATCTATTACTAATCGAGAATGTGATTATCATCCTAATGTGAATAATTATTTTATATCTAGTATCAATCAACAGGGGTAATTGCAAGAATAAAACTAGATTTTATGAGGTAGTGAAATTTCTAATTGAATCGATAAGTATAAATTATTTGCACAATATATGGAAAGTAAGCTTTGAATATACAGCTGACGCACGTGTATGAACAGTCAACAATGAAAGCACACATTACAGTACAAGGATATGATGGATTTATTATTATTTATTTATTTGAACACATGAATATTGGTACAAGAGGGAACCAAATATACATGCGCCACACAAAACTATGAGAATAAGAAAAGAAAAAAAGGTAAGGAGCGTAAAGGAAAAAAGAACAATAACGACCAGACTAGTGTAAAGTAGTGCAATAATAATAATAATAAAATAATAGTAATAATAATGGGAGAAACGGAAAGGTACAATCAGAAGAAATCTTTCAGGTAAGGGAGACACAACCACTTTTTATGAAGAAAGTAAAAGAAGGTTACAGCAGGATCGCCACTGGCTTCTATTCTGAGCCATATCTGATAACGTCTCTAGCCACTGTATTGTACCATCTCTCGGACCCCAGCCGAGGAGTCGTGAAGGATCAACACAAGCCACCTCTTTGCAGCTTCCTTTCATACCACGACACAACGTCATACACCGACCACCTCTCCGCCTTTTTCAACCAATCCCAGAGTCGGCAAACAATGCACGATGTGGAATTCTTTGGGACGACATTCGTAGAACATGTCCAAGCCACCGAAGTCGGTGTTTCAAGATGGTGACACCAACTGAATTATCGTCGCCGTGCCCGAACACACAATGCAGAACCTCTGCATTACTAATAAGGTGTTGCCACTGCATGTCAGCAATCCTTCGGAGACAACGATGATCAAACACAGAGAGTCGTCTAACATCCTCAACTCGGAGAGGCCAGGTTTCACAAGCATAGAGCAGAACTGCTCTCACCGACGCGTTGTAGATCTGAACGTTTACAGCCAGACTAAAATCACGAAGGCGCCAAAGACGGCCCAGATTTGCATAAGCCTCTCTGGCTCTCACTATGCCTGAATTGGTCTCATCACTCACGCCACCACCAGCACTTATGCAGCTACTTAGATACACGAAATTACCAACTACTTTTATCTGCTCACCATCCAGGGTGAGTACAGGATTAGGATCCTGTCAGTCTTGTAGAAATACTTTGCACTTCGAAGGTGCAAAACACATACCATACCTACGGACACTGATTGCCAACTGATTAAGTGCGGATTGCATGCCTTGTGCATTATCGCACAGTAAGACAATATCGTCCGCATACTCAAGGTCGAGAAGTCTTTCTCCAGGCAACAGATCCACACCACGATTACTTACATTCATCATAGCTGTTTCCAGAGTGTCATCGATGGCAAAGTTGAAGAGGAATGGTGAGATTGGGCAACCTTGCCTAACCCCACTGCTCGAATGGAACGATGGAGAGAGGTGGTTGTATGCCCTTACTCTGCCTGAGGCGTTTGTATATAAGGCTTTTAGGATGTTAATAAACTTCTCAGACACACCCGTCTTCAATAGACAATCCCAGAGAACAGTTCTGTCCAACGAATCGAAGGCAGCCCTGATGTCAAGAAACACTACGATTGTTGACCTTTGATAAGTATGGCGGTGTTCTAACATTTGGCGGAGGGTGAAGATATGGTCAATACATCCTCGACCAGAACGAAAACCAGCCTGCTCCTCACGAGTCAATCTTTCTCGGGTTTTGAACAACCTACAAAGTATGACGGAAGCCAATAGCTTGGACGCAATCGGAAGTAGACTTATCCCCTGATAGGTGTTACAGGAACGACGTGAACCCTTTTTAGAGATAGGGACAACTATCGACTCATTCCATGACGTTGGTACACTCTCTAGTTCCCAGACCTTTGTAAACAACACAGTCAGTTCCTTTGCCAGAAAGTCACCACCATCTTTAAAAAGGGCCGGAAGAAAGTCATCTGGGCCAGGTGATTTGTAGCGCTTCAAGAGTTGGAGTTCCTTGAGGAATTCCGCCTCATCTGGTGGATCAGTCGTCACCGGCCATGGAGGGCAGGGCAGTCTAACCGATGTTGCCGGAGCAGCAGACCAGTTGAACTGCCCTTCGAAAAATTCTGCCCATCGTCCAAGAACTCGATGGATGTTAGTGATTGGCATCCTATCATCCTCGCAGATTGTTTCACTCACACCAGACTTCTTGTTGCCAGTGGCTCGGATGAGTCTTGAATACGGGTCTCGGATAGACAACAAACGTCAATATTAAGACTTTCCAAAGACATAGCCAGCCCTATCTGTTGTCCAACCTGGATAAGTGTGCGAACGTTGAAGGCAGCCAGTTTGAATGGTGCACGTGGTTTCAGAAAATCTGCTTCAGTACTCATATTCGGTGGTAACATACAGTTTTCAACCAGGCAGTGACTCGAGAACGTTGAGATAGAGCCGAATTTCCACCATAGACGAGCTGCTGTATAAGTCGAGAAATAAGGATAGACAGCGGAAATAAAAGAGAGTGGATAAATGACGTAGTAATTAATAATAATAATAATAATAATAATAATAATAATAATAATAATAAAAAATTGAATCGTTTGATTGTTAATCGAAGCAAGTATAGTATTTTCCGTAAATATTGTCATTTCATTCTGTTTGTGTCTGGTACTGTGGTACTGCCTGGGTGCCCAGACCGAAGCAGGTGGTTTTCTTAGGGGGACACAACCCGAGCCTTTGATCTAAAGGTATGATCCACAAGGCAGTGGAGCATCGTGAGGAGATACAGGCACATGATAGCCAGTGACTAACGATTGGCTCATACGCCATTTGTTCCCACAGGATACTGGAGCCCATGTGCACCATTGGTTAGGGATCCGATTAAAGCGCCGGACATTCGCTTTTCGTCTTCTCATTTTCGTAGACAACACCCCCGCCACGAGAATGCTGTGAGTAGGACTTCCCTGGCAGAGGCTGTATACGCGTGGCCGTGTGAAAGCATTTTGAGAGGGGGCGGGCCCGCCCCACTCTCGGTCATACCAGGGCATTCGGGGGCTGATAATCAAACATGTTTAAATACTTGCGGAGTTTTGAAAGGAATACACAAAATAGGGATATAAAATGATACAGCCACATATGCAAATAGTTTAAAGATACTCAATTAAACATGCAAACAAAAATAGAAGGGAGAATCATAAATTTAGTCATAAATGTAGGCTCACAAAATAAAGTAATACTAACCTGAAAGATTTGTGTCCCCAAGGTAAAATTGGCAAACTCCATCATGATTTCATCATGTATTTTTTCAATCGAATTCTTCCAATCAATATTGAAGCCCTTCACTATTCGTGTTACCCGAGCTGATGAGAAATAGAGGTGTGAAGGTATAAAATGAAATAACTGCAGACTAAACCTACAAAATATCACTATTCACCATAAAATTAACATAGCGCACTGTTTACCATATTGTTTAGCAATACAAATAACTCAAGTATTGTTCAGTGTAATACATTATCTTTCTCGTTTGTAAGACATTTTGATGTAGTGATAATTAAAAAATATATGTATTTCAAGATATGCTTTGATAAGATACTAACATAACTAGTTTATAATTCAATCTTCAAAAGATCCTCAAGTATTCAAACTACTATAAACTACAACACTATTTAGAATCTCAGTGGTGCATCATGAGAGATGTTTCCGAATAAATCTTCAACCAAATAACTGATTGATACCATTTGGTGGGACTTCGCAAATGACCTAGCTTTTCTATCCCATACACACACAAAATGAAGATGGAGACAACTAGTGCAGCGGCAACCTCTACATCAGTAGGGGTCAACATACACAAGTGAAAAAGCGAAATTCGCAAATACAACACGGAGAACACCAACCCAATCACATTAAGTGGAGCTCTGGAAGAGATGGGATCTTCCATGTACCTGGGAAAGATCATCAACGAACAAGGAGGATCAGATGCAGATGTAAAGGTGAGGATTGGCAAATCAAGGGTCACTTTCCTACAACTGAAGAGCATATGGAACTCAAAACAACTGTCAACCAATATCACAGTCACAATCTTCAATACGAACGTCAAGACAGTTCTGCTGTAGGGAACTGAAACGCGGAGAACGACTATAGCCATCATTAAACACATACAAGTATTTATAAACAGTTGTTTATGCAAGATACTCAATATCCGTTCACCGGATACAATCAGCAACAGCCTATTGTGGCAGAGAAGAAATCAGTTCCCATCTGAAGAGGAAATTAGGAAAAGACTCTGGAAGTGGATAGGATATACATTACAGAAATCACCAAACTCCATCACGACACAAGCGCTAACTTGGATTCCTGAAGGGAAACGGAAAAGTGGAAGACCAAAGAACAAACTGCATTGGGAATCGGAAGCAGACATGAGAAAGATGAATAGAAACTGGAGACAACTAAAAAATATTGCCGAAGACAGGGTTAGATGGGGAATGCTGGTGGGCGGTTTATCCTTCTCCACGAGGGGTTACAGGCGTAAGTGACTATTTAGCTGAAAACTTATCAGTCGGCTTTACTACATTAACACGAACGATAATATTTAGGACCAAAGACAATATATGGCTTGTACAGCGGTATTTTTGTGACATCAAATCACGTTGACCGCCTGTTTTGAAGTCAAATAACAATTAGATTAATCCACGATAGGTAGTAGATTAGGATTATTTTAAGCACTTATGGTTCATCTAAAATCCGTTATTGAGAAATTGAGTCACATTTTTGTTATGTTCCTTAACAAAGAAGGAAAAAGACTTTTGCAAGTTGAATTGCTTTATTTCTCTTAAGTTACTGAAGTGAAGTTAGTTTGTTTCAATTAGAAAATGTCAAACAAGTAAAACCACTGTAATTACCCTAGGATAACATTTTACTACTGGGACCTAAATGAAACTCCATAAGTAATTACCTTGATACGCATTTTTTGTAACTAAACCCAATAAAGTTAAATACATAAGCATTCACTATTTCTCGAAAGAAACAACCTGAATGAAGGCAAATGACATCATAGTGTCCTTAAACCATAATGCCTACGATTATTTTGAACAATGCAAAATAAAATTTGATAACTGGGAATCAAGAATATATTTCTACTGCTACAATAACTTGACTATGAAGACCACAAATCAATTATCGTCGATGTAAACATGATAACTAATACTGTTCTTCAAGTAAAGAAAGTAGCAGGGATAGAAAACATAGGTTTATTAAAAAATGTATCATATAACTGCAGACACCGTACTGTTAAGCTGCTAACGTATTCATTAACACTCCACACTTTTTTACATGTAATCACTCTGTTATCGAATGTGGAAAGAGTTCGTTCTTCCTTTCATCTTCTATTCACAAATCTCATATATAAGTGTTACTATGTAAGTGAGAGAAATTGGATGATAAAGAACGCACAAGAAAACTTACCAGTTAATCCTTACATAAAACGAGATTTATTAAGATCTACAGACTGTTCCTTAATATTTGAATAATTTCATCAATTTACACTTCATCACTTCATTTACATTCATGTTAATACTAATTACAGAATCATTCTCACAGTTGATGATGAAGTCAAAAAAGAATAGTGAATAAAAAATGCATGCAATTTAGGAGACACAATAGTTTACTTTATCATTATTTTTAATCTCTGAGTAACAAATTAGAAACATGCGATAATATACTGCTATTTACAGCTAGAGTGATGCAGAATTTTAAATGGCCAACTTTAGTTTCTAGATGCAGTCGAGCAAAATAATATCTAAGACAGCCTATGATTATAAATTTTGTCTCAGAGAGATTTAATAGAGTTGAAAGAAAATCTAGAATCCAGAAAGATTCTTTAAAGTACATAGATACCACGATAATCATAGATAATGTTATTTTAACAATGAATGGCAGTATAATACCTTCCTCACTACGAATATTTTGGGTTACTTCATCTTGATTTTTCGACAGATGATGACTTTCACTAGTTGATCTGGCTTCGACATCGCGAACAAAAGATATCAGACAACCAAAATAAGGTGACAAGGCTTCATCGATATATGATGTCATATGCTTCGCTACAGCTTCACGACATCGAATAACCTCGGAAGAATCAGCAGCTCCATGTTCCTACACAATAAATAAAGCGTTCAAACAAGCAAATGAAACAAATGAATATAGATAAGAACCAATAATTTAAAGTTTTATGCACATCTATATAACTTACAGTTAGTACACTTATAACCAAATCATAATTGTTGATTAGAAATATGTGTGCTAATTTTGGACGTGAAAATGTTTTGGCTAGAGAATTTAGTACATGTTCAAATTGATTTTGCAATTGAGCCAAACGACTGAGGATACGAGGGTCTAAAGCAGGCTTCAAATTTGCAAGATTTTGTTGAAATGTTGGTTCATTGTGTAAAGAGTACTGTAAATTTGAACTCTCTGAACTCTTAGATTTACTCATACTGTCATCAAAAAGTGGAGCTGTGGAGTAAAATGAAATTTTACAGAAAAATTTACAATTAACTTTTTAAACAGCAGAAACATACTCATGCATTTCTACGTCATAACAGGAATAACCTATGCAAGAATAATGAAAATCATGTGTACTGTCGGCATATATATATATATATATATATATATGCTCAGCTATGAGGTTTACTTTTTGTGACAACTAGCGAATTGCTGAAATAGGTAGAAAGGGGTTTGGATATGTGGTCGAAGGGTTGGAAGTTAAGGTTTTTAGCCACTAATCCACAATATTTGGAAAAACGTACTTATGATTAATTAGATTATACGAATTGTTGTATGGTCTGTTAAACGTATATAGAAACGGTTGATACCAAAATTAGATAACTAATTAGTAATAATAGTCATATTCAATACTATAAGTTTTGGTACAGTAAAGATTCCTCAGCATCAATTGTATAATGTTACGACAAACATTTATTCAACGCACATTCAAATTGAAATTGTTCGAACCACATTTTAAAAATGTTTTATATAGTTAGTATCTTTCAACCCTGTTCAATCAGCAAAGCTGCTACAGGGTGTTTGTTTATAAATACATTTGTGTCTTGTTTGTCAAAGGATAGATAAAAAGAGAAGTATGTCAAGAACTGTAGTGTTTCTGTTTGAGTTTTTCAGTACTTAGTATCACAAGTTTGTAATCCTCTTATGGTACAATGTGAGAACGTATAGTTGCCATTTTTAATTATTCAATCCGAACAAATAAGCAGTTCATTTGCAATATTTGCACGGTTAGAAAATAAATATGTCAAATGTTTAAGCAGGCCACTGTATGTATTGATGGCTAACGTTTCAGTTTCATTACAACGAATAACAGTTATAAAAAAGCTAAATCGACAATAAGTTGGTTTTTATTAGTTTACCCTATTTGTTCTAGATGTACAGATAACAAACAAATAATCGAATAATAAACAACATTTCTCAAATCGTATTTAAAAACAAGTTTACAAGTTAGTACATCCGTATTCTATCCTAACGCTACATATCTTTAAACAATGTCTAGTTAGAGATTTAAGTTTGTAACATACCACAAGTCAGTAACAATTCGATTAAAGAATTATAAATAACACCTTCTACTTAAAAGCATCGATACTACTAAACTCGTTAATCTGTGATGTATAATATAAATATTGAACTTATGAGTTCAACACCGTGAGTAGATTTCTATGGGAGTAGTGTATAGTTCGACAACAGGGAGCCATTTAACTCATCTCCGCAGCTACATGGTTAGAAATGGATTTGAAACAGAACGAAAGAGATGAGAAATAAGTTGGACAGTGACGTAGAAAGGAATGATTTTTATCACTGTGGTTTTATTATTGTAACACCTATGTAAAGATTTCTATTAACTCCTGAAAAAAAGGTAGAACAAAACACGTGTTTTAAGGTAAACAAAACGATAAGTTTGAGGAATAAAAGAAGCTAAGTTTCTGAGTATTAATAACACTATCAATAAGAGCACACTTACTACCAGGGAATTGATGTCCGATTGAATGTAGGCTAGCAGCTAATTCAGCATAACGTCTGGCTATCCAATGAGGACGAATAAGAGCATACATTTTAGGGTGTAAACTGACAGTGGTATTTCCGGTAGCATTTGTAGGTATAGTGACATTTAGAGTGGATAAATTAGACTTCATAATATCACGAGCATCTGTACTAAAACTGCTGACATCCAAATACTGCAGCATGGATGCTATATGTACATCCAGTCTATCAGTAACACGTACCCACAAAGTCTCAGTCATTTTACCCCAAAAACTATTAAATGAGCAAAATGGCACAAAAGTCAATTATCTAAGAGGAATCAAATGTACAATATAAATATCAGATATTCTACGGGAATTAGATTTTACTGTTGATTTTACATTGATAAACACAAAACATCTGAAAATTATCCAAAAATTTAATCCAAATGTTTATTTGATCTTTTAGGATTATACCTTCATTACTGAACTCGACCGATCAAAAACCTAGACACTTTTAGTCCAAAGAAGTGGAATTAATTCGAATAGTGAACTAAAGAGAAATATTTGGTCTCTGAATCATTTAAGTATGTTTTTCCACATTCTAAATGTAATTTTCACATACTTGTCCTCAGAGGTTTTTGGGTAACTAATTTAATTAATAGTCCCCATTGCTTACCATCTCATTTCAAGTGAAGGTTAATTCGGTAACATATAATTATGAACACACAAACAATCCCATCTAAGCTGAATTTTTGATATCGAAACATATACGCCATTTTACATTACCCAACCCATAGCATTTACGAAGTGAGAGAGATATCCAGTTGCTTACCAACAGAAACTTGGTGAAAACGTCTACGACTAATAAAAAAATATTTTTCGTGATATCCCAATGAGTAGAAAATTGTATTTTTGGTGTTACGTGACTTAATGTAAGTCACTTCTTCAGAGTAAATAAATAACCGAAATAAAATTAACACAAGCATAATTAGTACAACAAAATATATTCGTTATTAAGTTGATAACCAAGGCTCCATTTGAAACTATCAAATCTAAGATTGGCATTGACACCTACTTCTACAAATGTTACATACAGCTACCCAAAACGGATGTTATCGGTAGGCCAAACATATCTTATCGTGTTTTTGCAGCATTTTCATCTTTTGAGGTAACCACCACCAACTTTCTTAAATTCACACAAGACCAACACCTGAGGAAACCAACGAGACTACAGGACTGTGTATCTGAAGATCAAGTCTTAGTTATCTCGAAAAGAAACACGGGCAGGGATGAATGAAATAATCAATAAAAAGAGAAGTCATTCATGAGATGAATGACTGCTGCGTAGTGGAGTTGTTGAGTCCCTAGTTTTTATGCTTCATATTTAATAAATAATTGGTTGAAAGATACACTTAGCATATCCTAAAACTGATCGCAGTTTCGCAAACGGATACCTCCATTTAAATATAAGAGAATACTATCACACTGAATTTAGGCGATATGAGAATCAAGACAGAGAAATTTTACGAAATGTATGAAGTAAAAACTGATTTAGAACTGCGAAAAAATAAATGCATAATCTTTAAAACTTACTCATCCAACACAGGTACCCCTCTCTCTTTAGCCAGACGAAGCAAAGCATGTAAAAGCTGGAGACAAATTAATAAACCGATTGCATCATGAGAACAAGAAGAAATCATGAAAGTCCCAGTAAATTTATGTATCCAACTTAAACTACGACTCATAACTTGCTCGAATAAATGAGCTAAGGCTACACCACTTTGAGTTCGACCTTGATTGGGTGTACTTTGATCACAAGATGGTGGTGAATCAACAGACTCAGTTTCCGTGCTAAGAAGGAAGAAATCTGACAGAAAATAATATTCTCGACATGCAGTATCCAGAAGCGCGTAGTGAATGGAACGAAATAAAACTTCAATAGGGTACTACATGGGAAATAAAGGGTTTGGAAAGTAAAACAAAAGTAAAATCTTATATAAACTGATCACTAAACTCTATAAAACAGAAAAAAACCTTCAAGACTATATGATGATAAATGTCTATTGCGGGTCGTTATTTAAAATCAAAAGATACTGTCCTAAGTTATTGTGGGAAATCCTTATGAAAACTACTTAGCGTTGAAAACAAGAATAGTTTAACAATCACGTCTGAATGACTTGTCGCTAATTTTGGCAACTCTTCTTGAAAAGTCAACAGAAATGAACTTGAAGTCGATAATAAAGTTTTATTCTCAAGACCCTAACATCCTTCCAAGTTTAGTATTAGGTTAGTGAGAATTGATTCCAGTCCTCTACGAAAATCTTTATACCATACTCTGTGTGAGAGCTTTAATATCAGTCACTGAAGTACAAATTAAAACACGTAAGTCTCAATTTCAGAAACTGATGTGACGAAAAAAATAAATAGATTTCCTGTTCGCTATTTTTGAGGCCCTGGATGACCGAACCGTAATACAGGAGAGCAGTTATACCGATCTAATCCGAGTATTAATTAGTTAGCCTAGACTGTCTATCTAGTACTGATGACCGGCTAACAAATGACATGATGATAATGAAAGAACCAAGAGAAATATCTGGCGAAAATCGGCCCAGAATAGTTTTCCACGCCCGCTTCCTCGATAGTTAGAATAGAACACAATTTATTAAGCAAGTAACTTCTAATTAAAAAGTTCCAATTTGCATACAATAAAATAAAGGCCGGACTACATATCAACATAATTAAGAAATCATGATACGGGTATAACTACGTAGTAAAAGGAAGAAGACTGAGTGATAAGTCCGTAATAAATTAACAATAACTTGGGAAGGGAAAACACGCAACAACAGTTTATGTGTCAAACAAAAGCTTACAGGCACGCGGACATAAATATACAATAATAATAATCACACAACAAATTATGAATATTAACTTCAGATGAAACCGTTGTGAAAGTTCTGATGTGCTTAATTAATCCCAACAGAGCAGAGACAACAAAATGCAAACTCGTAATCAGTATGACTGTGAATTTATTTCAACCCATATTTCAGTATTTTCTTTTGGAAAACTAAGGTGGAAGTGTATTATTTACTTGCTTGCTTACGCTTGTGTACCCCTCGTGAAGGAGTATAGGTTGCCTGCCAGCATTTGAAGTTGCTCAGCGGCGACTAGTTTATTAGTGGATAGCACAGACAACAAAATTAAAGGCAGATGGAGCGACTCCGAGCAGAGAAGTTAATGAGTGTACGAGAGAACACAAAGGCGAATTTATGGTCAAATCACATAAGTGCACAGCAAGGCAAAGCAAAGGTTAATAATAGGATTCGAGTATATATATATATATATATATATATATATATATATATATATATATATATATATTAACATTTTAGTTAGAGATATGTGAGTAAGCTGTCACATGTGCTCAAGCGTACATGTTTATACAGACATGATAGTGACCACAATAGTACAAAGAAATAGACGAACTTTTAGCATCAGAATAACATTATCTGTTAAGTAAGTTAGTAAAAAGGCTTAACCAAAATTAACTATAATCGAAATCGGTTGTAGGAGAGTTGCTATAATTCGTTGGTCTTACACTTTTCCGTTTCCCTTCAGGATTCCAAGTTTGGTCTTGCCTCTTCATGCAGTTTGATGATTTCTGTAATGTATGTCCTATCCACTTCCAGAGTCTTTCCCTAATTTCCTCTTCAGATAGGAACTGATTTCATCTCTCCCACAGTAGGCTACTGCGGATGGTAATCGGCCAACGGATATTGAGTATCTTGGGTAGACAACTGTTTATAAATACTTGTACCTTTTTGATTATGGAAATGTATTAGCATATTCAAAATCAAGAAATCAGAAAATTATACTGATTCACTTACTTTAGCATCCACGTTGCTGGCCACATGTGGTAAAATAATAGCACTTTCTAGATTCGATTTACCAAGTACACGAAGTGCACGATCACTTAATCCAAAAAGTCCAACACGTGTTCCAGAATTAGAAGACACTGATACGGTTGGATTATTAGTAACATTAGTAATTGAATTGAACATCAGACTGGATGTAGATGATGCAGAATTGTATTTATCTGGATTTTTCCCTAATAAATCATCTTTTTCATAAGTTGTATCAAGCTACATTAACGAGAGAAAAGATAACAGAATTGTAACATGAAAAATTATAAATCATGCAAAATTTAATTAGATGGAATCTACAGAGATGGGTTTCGTAGGTTGATTACTGAGATTGTAACCACGTAATTGTACGTAGTAATTGTTGTGACTTTAAGCCCGGCTAATTACCATGTGACTTATTCGCCAATCAGAATACGACTCATACAATCTTAGCACTGTGCCAAACCAACGACGTTCGACCAGTATGAGCAGCCCAGCGTCTTTATTGGTCCTTTTCCATCCTAGCCCTGCCAGTTGAGTCCAGAATATCAATAATAGCTTCTACTATACGAACCAATTATCTCAAACATACCTGGTATATATACAAGCCAAACGGCCCACATCACATCATAAAACAGAAAATAACATTTGTACAAGATCAAGCCAAAAAGTGGCTGTGATCGTGCGAGACTGTAATCAACAAACTAAGTATAATTTAAGAATAGTAAACCGTATCATAATAGTCCATAGGTCAAAATAAAGCTTATAATAAAAGGAATATAGATATACACAATCTAGATACTAAATAGTTGCACAATAAGAATATATTAGTCCATTAATGGTTCTCAGAAGTTACCCACAATTTAATCTTCACTAGGATATAATAATAATAATAATAATAATAATAATAATTATTATTATTATTATTATTATTATTATTATTATTATTATTATTATTGGCAGTTGAGTGCATTTCTTACTGATTTCTGAGTTACATTGAACAAGAGGATTATTTACAATTAAAATAATAACTTACTATTATGAAGACGTATATTCACTGCATATTGGACGAAAGGTTTTTTTTCGCGTGAGAGACGGTTCCGATTAAAAAAGGGGGATTTAAACATACTACTCATACTATTTGTATATAAATTTAGGTTTATTTAAGAAACGCAAGTATCTGATTTTCTTTTCCAAACAATTTATACCTTCTCTTCTTACAAATTATCTTTATAACGATATATTCTTTTGTATAGTTGTAAACGCTGATACCACCCAATTAATTAACCTAGTACTTTAAATCAGATAAATATTTAACAATCTCAATATTATTTGTTAAAATCAGATACACACTGATCATGATGTTTTCCTTTCATAAGAACATACAATAAACTAGATTATTTTCATTAAGCACTATTATATTGGTTTTAACTACAACTAAGACAAAAATATCACTGAGGCAAACCCGTCATTTAAGGCACAAAATTTGAAACGATACATTTTTCCATGAAAAATAATAAAGTAGAACGGAATTACAAATGTATGAAGTTACGCTTTAGTAAAACTTAGTGACTAACTTGTAATTTGGTTAATTTACCACCATAAGCTTTAAAATAGGCGTAGTAAACTTTACTCATCGTATTGATATACTCCACCCTAACTTCTTTAGCTATCTCTCGATCATGAGCTAAGAGGAACGAATTGTAGAATCTGGATACAAAGGAAGAAAACACCAATAGAAATGTTGAAATATGACTTGAAAAATATAACCAGTTATATGCATCAGGTAGCAACACATGTCGGAATTTTCGCACTTCAAAAATAAGTTTCTTATGTTACTATCACCCTTAAATTCTACATTTCTTCAACTTGTATAATTTAACTCAGGTCAGTCAGATTGAAAACAATTGAATCTTGACGTAACATTTATTCACAAACGGACCGATTAAATTACAAAAGCAAAAGTATATACCAGTTCTAAATTGATTGTTCATGTCTCGAAGCACATAGAACGGCAATAATGTGATCCGCAATAACACAAATTATTTTCAACAGATCCATGCTGCAACTGGAATGGTGAAAAAACTATCACTTCGAAAATAATATTTCGCTCTAGGACAATTCTTCTAGCTATTAAATGGGACTGTTTGTATCGTTAATCTGTAGTAAGTAATATTCAATCTAAATGAAACGAATTATGCTTTTAAATGGCTTCGAAGAGCGTAAAACGCTCTTGACCTCTTAAAACTCATTCTAAGGACATATTGTTTGTTTTTCGGAGGGTTTGGTGTAATAAGAAAGACTTATGGAAATGTTGAATAACCAAGAGCTGTTTTTTGTACTCGGCTTTGAATCACATTCTTTGTGTGCGAACTAATTATTCTGCTCAGCTGATAAAACTGAAGTGAAACATGGTCCAAACCTGTGATCAAGTAATTGAGTTGTTATTTATTATTTATTTTATTTGAGCACATAAATGTTGGTACAGGGAAGCACCAAATATATATGCGCCACACGAGTTGAGTTGAACCCCTTATGTTACGCAGTAGACATCGTTTGGTATGGTTAATAAAATGAAACAGTTGACAAATAAACAACATAAGCAGCCCCAACCAACATCAATGATTAATTTTTGTCACCTGTATTGACTGACAATCCGAAATATATGAACTGGTTTGCATATGCGTTTTTCGAAAACATAAATGTACGCTCTTACGAAGTAATGTGCTAGTCAATTTGATAGAGCGTATCATTCGATTGGCATTAGAAAGCAATTTGCTTTGATATTAGGTTTCATACAAAAAATATATTACCTCAACGATGAACGTACTAACAGAAGTACCAACGTCATGATAATTTAAAGGAATATCTAGAGGGTCAAAAGTATACACGGTGTTTGACGACACTACGTCTACAAAAATTCCTTTCTGTTGTCAAATAATCAGTAGACAAATTGATTTAACCATCAACATTTTATCCATGCTATACGTAATTAATACTTATTATCCGTTGATAACTCGAGACTTCAACTAAAAACATATCACACCTGAAATACTTACCGAAATTTCAGCATTTGGTTTTGAGGAACTTGATAATTTGTAAGTGGCTTACGTAAGGAGTATATTTTACCCAACAGAAATTCCCGGATTTTTGTAACAGCCTAAAGTTAAATTGAAATAAAATAACGTAATAACTGATAGCAGAAGTAAACAAAATATAAAATTTATGGATGACTACTACATATGAAGACAAATAGACAGTTGTTATTTGAAGTAGGTAGGCCCGACCGTTGCTGCTGCCTTGACGTGGTGGTCGAGATTGCCTATCGTGACGAATCAATCAGCCTATATTGGATGAAACAATCGTTCCTCAAGTTCCTAACATGCCAGACAGGTCGGTTGAAGAGCAGCAAGACTAAAAGCAATAAACCCAAGGTTTGAGGGCGACGTCGTACTGCTAACTGTACAGAGAAGTGACGGCAGTAAGGTGTTTCCTTCAAAAAAACATAACAGCAATGCTGCCTTCCCACAAGGAAGGGTGGGTTTACAAAACTTCGACCTTAAAACTGCACACCTAGCCTTATCCCATGGATATCCGTCTCCTGCGGTAATGTCTCAACAAGTAAGGGGATAACCCGACAATTACTCACAAAAAGGTCGTGTTTGACCGACCCCAAGCAGTTGTTCCTTGGGTACTGAGGTCACGCCCTCGGGTCACTAAAACCACCTCTAATCCAGTTTCCTTTTCAGGTACCTCCAGAAGAACCCTTCCACGGTATGGGCAACCGGGAAGTGATAACCGCTCTCATACCTCTAACGGTACTCAAGACCACTGTATTCGTAATCAACCTCCCTCTTCAATTTCTATTATTCCTCCTACATCGGCTTTCACCTCTAAACTTCCTCTTTCGGCTTCCTCCTCAAGTGTCACCATAGCCAACGATTCTAGTGCTCAAAACACTGTCCTAGGTCTACTGAAACCTCGCTCCAAACTATACATTGGATCCTTCAACGTACGCAACCAATGTCAAATCGGCCAGCAGGCCTACTTGGCTAAAATCCTAGAATTTATTACCATTGATGTATGCTGTGTCTCTGAAACACGCATACAGGATCCTAGTGTGGTCATTCAGTTAACCTCACCTCGCCAAAACGGAGAGCCAACGAGATACACCCTCCGTGTATCTATTGACCCGACGGCCAGCTCTCGTGGACTGGCAGGTGTAGGCATAGCACTAAGCATGAGGGCCGAACAAGCACTGCTAGAGTGGATCCCCGTCAACAGTCGTTTATGTGCTGTTCGAGCAAATGGCTCCGTAAGAACTCGGAAGGATAGGGACACACGTCGTTGCCTTTTTGTCGTTTCTGACTACGCTCCCACCGACTGCAGCTCACATGAAATGAAAGATGAGTTTTACAGAAAGCTATCTGAACTTCTTCAGAAAGCTAAACGTTCAGACATAGCACTCGTAGCAGGTGACTTTAATGCCCAGATAGGTAGTTTAAACCAAACAGAAAGGCATTTAGGTGGGTATTTTAGTATTCCGGCACAACAAACAGATAATGGTGATCGTCTGCTGCAACTGTGCTCAGACAATCGTTTATTTTTAGCAAACACAAATTTTAAGCATAAGAAGAGACATCGTGTAACATGGCGACCCCCTACAACAAACCAACGATGGACTCAAATAGACCATATTGCCATCAGTCCTCGTTGGAGAGGCTCAATAGAAGACTGTAGCTCGTTCTCGAATACTTGTTTGGACGCCGATCATGCTCTAATATGAGCACACATATGCTTGCACCTCTATGGACGCACGAAAACCCCATTAAGGAGACCCATTAAAGCCAAAAGTACATTCCAAGAACAACTGAGACCACACTTAGGCAGTTCTGAAAACGAGGCTGACCCAGATGTTGTTTGGAAAAATATACAAACAGCTGTGGAAACAGCAGTGACATCTGTTAGTGATTTGAACCAAATGGTCACGAAAAACCAGTGGATTTCCGTTACATCTATTGCGCTTATAGACTCTTGTAAACTCAGCCCATCAGGTTCCAAACACGATGAAGAGCAAAAACAAATCAGATCCAGGTTAACAAAAAGTCTGCGGAACGACCGTGAGCAGTAGTGGGCAACAAAAGCAAAAAAGATGGAAAATGTGGCGGTTGTAAGTAACACAAGACAGCTCTACAGACAAATAAAAGAAACTGAAATTAAGAAGTCAAGTGTGAGACAATCACGGAAAACGACAACACTCTGATCTGCTCCCAGTCCAGACGTTTAGAACGATGGGCGGAAAACTTTAAGGAGCAGTTCAGCTGGCCTTCAGCTACTCTACAACTACCCACAGTTCCCAGAGTGTAAATGGAACATTAAAGTAGGCCCCCCGACTCTAGTTGAAGTCCAAAAGGCTAAAGCTAGTCTGAAACGAGGAAGAGAAGCTGGTCCAGATGGTGATCCAATTTTAGCGATTAGGTTGACTAGTATTTTAGATAAAATCTGGGAGTTGAACGCAATCCCATCGGACTGATTGCAACCACTGATTGTCCCAATATATAAGGGGTCAAAATCATCTTGTGAAAACTACAGAGGGAATAGTTTGACTAGTATAGCACCTAAAATACTAGTCTCAATAATTATCGGACGCCTGACTAAGACTCGTGAACTGCAAACACGAGGAAATCATGTTGGTTTCAGACCTGGTCGTGGCTGCATCAACCACATATTCACCATTCGTCAGGTTCTAGCACACAGACATGCTTACCGGTGTCCGACAATGGTGGTCTTTCTTGACTTAAAAACAACACTTGATTCTGTAGATCGCGAGATTCTGTGGCAGTGTCTGTCATTGAAAGGCATACCTCAGAAGTAAATAAACATTATGCAGGCTCTTTACTCGAACATTACCAGTCAAGTTAGAGCTTATGGCGAACTGTCATCTGCTTTTGCAACCTCAAGTGGTGTCCGGTAACGCTTTCCACTTTCTCCATTTTTGTTTAACTTCACCATAGACCTACTGATGGAAATAACGCTGTCATTGACTGAGTTTTCGGGCATTGATCTCCTACCAGGAGGTCCACCTATCGACTTAGAATACGCAGATGACATAGTCCAGTTTGGTTAAAATGCTAATAAAGTCCAGTCTTTTGGTAGCACTGAGCAACAATGCCACGATGTCTGGGGTGCATTTCTCCCCCCCCCCCTAAATACAAGTTGTTGCTTCAGGATTGGCCCACATCAACACCTGAACTAAGGATAGGAAGTGAAGGAGTTGAACGCGTCAACACCACTTATTTTGGAAGTTTGATCAGCTCTAATGGGTTGGTGTCTGATGAAATCTCTTCAGGAATTCAAAAAACTCGTTTGGTTTTTGCCAACTTACGTCACCTATGGCGAAGACAAGATATCCGCCTATCAATTAAGGGACGAGTATATTGCACAGCAGTCCGTTCTGTCTTACTTTACGGTTGTGAAATGCGGCCATTAAGGGTAGAAGATACTCGTAAGTGACTGGTATCTGGTCACAGATGTTGCTCGCATTTGCTGGGATCACCGGGTACGGTAAGTAATAGTGAGGTTAGACGAAGGGTACCAGGGACTGCTGGTAAATCGTTCGGTTAGGTTGCGAATCCTCATCGACTAAGATGGTTGGGTCATATGTTACGTACGCCTGAACACTGATTACCACGACGTGCAATGCTGACTAGTGTTGGAGACGGGTGGAAGAAAGTTAGGGGCGGCCAAACTAAAACGTGGCATCAGCTCTTGAAGTCACTAACCTCTGATCTGAGCCATGTTGGTTAATGCAGACTATTTGGTTGGGGTCCGCGCGAGTATCGTAACCAGTCGTTGGAAACTCTAGGTGACATAGCTCAGAATTTATCACAATGGTGTCGGTGTATACACTCTTTGTCTTCCCTTAAACCATGAGATTAAAATTACTATTTTTACGAACTAATTATTTCTTCCTGTATTATATCATTATACAAAATCTTTCTTTTATACATTACTACCATTGAAGTAACTACTTTATGAATTTGGTGTTCATCTTGTTGTGCTAATGAGGTATGGCAACTTGGACTGATGCATATATATGCCTGGTCATACGTTGTAGCTGACTGACTGAGGTAGGTAGGTAAGTAGACTAGGTGAACAGGATCTATATTTCAGACGTCCAATTATCACGAATTGTCACAATTGACAAGAACTGATGTTTATTGAGTGAAAAAATTTCAATGTTTCAGAGAATCAGTAGTAACCTTAGAAATAAGAAAAGACCTCAAATGAATAAATCCTTAATATCACGTTGAACTACTGATTTTGTAAGTAAGTAGGCATATTTAAATTCGCCTAAATCATGAGGGAAATTGTCGTAACATATATACCTCCTTAGTGCTTTGATTTCACTTAATTAGTGCAGTATAACCAAAAAAATTAAAGCTTTTATATTGGATAAGGGGTATTTAGACTAGTTATCTGGATAAACTGATGCAGACTGAGGACAGTCCGGAGCTGGTGCTTTGTAGTTAAGAGATGACTATCTTGGGTCTAGATAAATAACTAAATTGAAGTATATGCAATCAACAAATAAATCATACACATTTGCAAATATATACCTACCTTAATTCTCAACTTTTTTAGAAGTACACTAACATCGTTAAATGATTTGTAATCCACCATAGATTGCTCTGACGAGAAATTCATTTTATGATTTAATTCATGAAGGTTTTCAAGGAACTCTTGTTCAGTAACAGGAGTGTACATGATATGTCTAAAAGAATTATTATTAAAAAGGAGTTCGTGAACTGTTGGTTGTTCCAGATAAAATAACATCAAGAGCACTAAAATACCTCATAACTATGTAATTATCAGATCTTGGTTTACGAAAAGTTAAATTAAGGTAATAGGCATCAGGGTCAATACGCCTGATGTACGAAGTCAAACAGAAGACAACAAAAACCAATAAACTAAATTGAGTAGAAGTGTCGATGGGACCAAAATTGCTCTAAAGACTTACCAAGCTGAGCATTTTGCATCTCAACTGCAGTAAACAGGACTTTTACGATTATAACACTAGTAACTAAATTTTCTCCTTTGAGATGCAAGGAAGACATGATGGTCTTACTGGTGTGACCTCTGAAGTTGGTGTGTTAGTGATTAATTGACATATTTTCTTAGCCCAACAGTGAGAGTAGTGAAAACAGTTGATGGTACTCGGTATATGGAATAATTTCTATTAGATTACTTTCATCCAGCTTGTAAAGATATAAATATTCATGATCTAATTTTTGAACCTGTAACAAACGTATGATCAGATCAATTGAGTGGTTAATTCGACGTCTAGTATCAAACGGTTAAATGAAGAGATAACATTTGGACTCGTCTGGTTATTTACATACCTAGTAAGCAATTGATACTAATATCTTCACGATAAATGCCTGTCCAATTCAGTTTACTTTTTACTTATCGTTTGCTGCCGTGAATAGTTATTGCATACAAGTTTAGGATTGACTAGACCTAACTATCATTGAACCCAGTTCTATACACATGTTAATTTATCACAAGCAGAATAACAAACAAATAATGAAATCCCGATTGTAGATACTACTTTGATGTGGTGGTTGGGTTTGCATATCATGATGAACCGATCCAGAAATAACGGCTGGAACATTTGTTTTGTTTTGGATTTCACCATAATAGGTACGTCAGTAGGAGTGACTGAATGAATTATTAGCCCAAATATTCCCTCTCACGGCAGAGGGTGGAGAGAGTCCGTTTTCGCTCTCGAAATGCTCTCACATGGTCACACGTATACGGCTACTGCCAGGGAAGTCCTACTCACTGCCTTCTCGTGGTGGGGGTGTTGTTCACAAAATTGGAAGGACGAAAAGCGAATGTCTGGTGATCTAACCGGTTGGTGGATACTGAGAGTCTACCTAGGGGAGTTGAAAAACCCTGATTCCAAACCAGTGGTGCACATAAGCTCCAGGATCCTAAAGGGACAAGTGGAGTATGAACCAATCACTGGTCGCCGGCTACCATGGGACTGCATCTCCTTACTTTGCTTCACTGCCATGTGGATCAGACCTTTAGGCCGAAGACTCAGAGTGGCCCCTTAAGAAAACCACCTGCTTCGGTATAGGCAACCGGGCAGTATCACAGCCCTTTGTACCAATATTTATGTTCAAATAATAAAAAAATGATCGAATTATATTGTTAACTAATTGATTTATTCGGAACTTTTGGACGCGATGCACAATGATCGTTACAATTCAGTATCGAAAGGATTATAACTGTTCAGATTGAAGAGACTAACTGAAAGTGGCCGCTAGCTAAAACATTACTTGTTTTTAGTACTCAACATTATTTAATTACTAGTATAGGGGTTGTGGAGATTATTAAGTTTTTGATTGAGATCACGAACCGATTGATGTTAGACCATCACAATTGAAAACCTGGAAGCACTGGACGGCCGTTTCGTTCCATTGTGGGACTCCTCAGAAGTGCGCATCCACGATCCCGCGAGCGGGATTCGAACCCAGGGCCTTCGGTCTCGCGCGCGAACGCTTAACCAACTGGACCACTGAGCCGGCATCCAATGGTGATAGTTTCTAACATCAATCAATCCACGAAATTGCGCGACCAACTTCCGTTGTACTGAGGTAGATACCACTAAAAACAGGTGGCAGCTTTCAAAGTGGGACAAACAAGTTTTGCCAATGAGCTTTAAAAACAATAAGAGAATTGTGATATAACTTCAGAATAAAACTAATTCTGAAGAATTAATAAGCCAACGTCATGGACAATAGTACAAAGTAAATTTATAGATGTGGTCGAAATGCTTACCGTATAAGCTCTTCAGGAATGGCCATATCTGAAAGAAACTGGCTTAAATTACTCCGAACAACCTAGGGAGAAATAAATCAGTGAGGGAAAATCAAGTAACTTATTGGCTTGTCAGAATGTGACAAAAATGAAATTATAAGTCTGTAAGCTTTGAAAGTATCATCTCTTTACATAAGCAAGTGGCTCAAGAGTTACCGTCTACTTTAGTGTTCTTACTTACTGAGCGTTTGGATGAACATAATACCGTAAGCGCAAGGGATGGACATGTTTGTATGTTACCATAGAAAACTGTCTACTTTAAATATAATCATTGTATGTATTACAAACAAATCAGTTGAAACGAAACTATACAATGTTCAAAGTGTCAATAGTACCTTAACATGGCTTATAGATTATATACGTGATACGATTCATCCAATTTGACTAAACAACTAGCTAACTGATCGTATATTTGTGCATTGAATTCACTTTTTTGAATACTAAACATGAGGAAAATTGATCAAAGTTGATAATGGAAAGTCTTACTGGCCGTCCAAAGCTTCAGAAGTTATTGATAAGGATTTTAAAATATGATTTGTATACAGAACAGTACACTTATGAATAATTCTGGCTCTTTTCCCTAAATGAATTCTTTTTCGATAAAGCTATAAAACACTTAAGAATAGAATATAATTTGTGTGATAATCTAACTAATCTTAGTATTACTCTGTTATTAGCTAGTTAAACCCGCCTATTCGTATTAAAGTATTTTCCAAGGTGAATAAACTGAATCCCCTTAGGCTCATTATGCAGGCGTGCTCTTTAAATCTAGACACCTAAAGAAAAACCTAAATCAAGATCGACACAAAACACAGAGGTAAATTCCCAGACAATAACTTTACTTAGCAGCTTAGATACCAACCAAAGGAATAAATATGATTCAATACAACTGAGGTTTATAAATCCTCATAAGTGAAGTGAGGTCCAGGTTCGCATTAAGATTATAAATAGTGCTATAGATATCAATTTATCAAACACGTTAGGTATATTTGAGCATTCAATGCCTATCATTTATTATAGTTCGTGGTCGGCAGAAACACTGTATTTACCAATGTTTTCCTTTTACCATTAGGATTAACTCACTCCAAAATATACAAAATGAGTAAAAATAATAATTTTAGTGAACAGAAAATTAACTCATTACTGTGCAATAACATACCTGTCTGTTTTGCAGCCGAGTGTTCATTTGTAGAGATTTGCTTTGCAAATCCTGGATTTCTGTGCTAATGGCACCCAAATCTTCATGAAAATTAGTCAGTATGTTTTCTATCCGCTTAATTATGATGGACGTATACTTTAGAAATAAGAAACAAACCTCTAGGATAGCATCACATGAGATAATTTGGTTATGCAAACTAGCTACTTCAGGACTGACCGTTATATCTATGTATACCTAATAAATGTATGAAATTTACATGTCTTTATAAGTGATTCTTCTATTTTCGTTAACTCTGATTCAACTTGAGCAGCATAATCACGTACATCAATTCCCTACATTGGTAAGTAAACAAATTAACTTACCGATTTTAGAGCTATTTCTTCTATTTCCGTTTTCAGTGACTCTGAAATGACTAAGATTATATTACAAAGTAACAATAATCACACCATCAACATTCATTTTCTATACCACCACCAATATTTAACAGATGACGTAAAAATTAACGCGTTTGTAATTAAACAGCATTATGAATGTCGCCAATTCACCTTCCTGAACTCTAAAAGTAAATTTTGCCAATGGAAAAATATGAATATGACATGTGTAATGAATGAAAGCAGTTTGCATGCCTAAATGCTAATATTAAGTTTTGAACCCTATAGGATTACTATACATCGAGTATGTATTGGTTTGCCTTTGAAGTTTTAGTATACAAAGTTTGGTGGGAGATTGATGGGTTAAAAATCTATTCCCCCAACTCCATATCAATATAAAACTAGAAGTTTCCGAACTAACCAGTCGTTTACATCCCAAGACATAAATAAACGCCGGCGAATTCTGTTACGTCCTAGTAATAAAAGTTAAAGAAGGGATAGGTACTACTACACACTGAAGGATGTAATACTGTCTAAAACTACAACCTAAAGTGTCGCCTGAACTGTTAGCTAAATGTGTCAACTTTCACCACTTCTACGTGATACTATTATCACCCTGATTTGGAAGAATCTGTTTTCAAGACTACTTCCACTGATTACCATATTTTAGGTTTTAACCTAAAAATAGCAAGTGACATTGTTAGCCATAAACGTAGATAGTAACACTTTGAATGTCTCGAATAGATAAATGACAAAGCCTTTATTTAAAATGCACATCAGGAGACTAAAGAAAACCTATGAAATATACGGTTCAAAAGACCAGCGGAAATAGATCTCAAGATAAAGTGGAGGATCACTTGACGATACCTCTTCGCTCTTTAGTATAACGTGCCCAGAGACAGTCTAGGGGATATAGTTATTGTATTCGTCCGTACATGATTAGTTATTGTTTTACGTTGACGTCAAGTAATTATTTAACACTTTATCTTCATTCCTACAGCAACTCAAAAAAAACGAGGAAATTTAACTAGCATTTAATAAGGAAATTCGGTGCGAATAGAGGGGATCTTGTACCAAACTGTTTTCTTGTTCCCCATAATAGCTGTAGCACGTAATAAAAATAGTGAGATATTTAATCCTAAATCTCCCTATTAAAACAGGCTTCTCGAAATTAAAGCCCTAAACTTAGCTTAATTTAACATTATATAGTCTACTTTCCACTTACAATAACACCAAAAGGTCTATTTTCCCTACGAATTCACGTCAAGTTATGTTTTAAACATTACTGTCGGTAAATTTATCAGTTGTTCTCGGAAAACAGACGTTGACCTTACTGATACAAAAAGTTTTGGATGCTCTGAGGATAAATTCCAGTGTCACCCTTTTTAGAAACTAGTAACCAACTGCGTCGACACAACCACCAACATATGTAAGTAGCGCAACCTTTGATTGCCTGCAGAATTTCAGATTGTTTTAACTAGTTGAGTTCATTGAATGTATGGTAGTTAATATTTCCTAGAATACAAATTTACATATGTTTTCAGTTTAATCTGGGTTTTCTTAGTGTTAATAAACTTAGGTAACAAAGTACATCCTCAATCACCCACAATATCACTAATATCTCATAGTCCATATAAAGTTATACTTAGCAGTCCCACCCACCTTTACATCTGCTTTATTGCTTCTGTTACTATATGCCGTTCTTAACAAAGGATCTATCCGGCATTCTGGAAAACGTGTCGTCAAAATTATAAGATTCTGTCTGGCAAAATTCAGAACGATGTTGAGCTAAACAAGATTATAAACCGTGCCTAAAATCCCTCAGGAGACACCACCGGTCACAAGCCCGAATAAACGAAGAAGAGTGGAATTAAGATCATTCGTTCCGTTTCTTTAAAAGGAGTCTCGCTAAACCGCAGCCAGAAGGAACCACTAGAACAATTTTAAACTCTGGTCTGAGAGTTAAAGAGTCTTCATAAAACCTGGAAAACTCCGAAAGCCACGAACCCAATACTTTTTGTGAAGTCCCGAGAAACAGCGAACACAGAGATACAGAATATCCGGGCAATGTGGGAGAGTGGAGGAATCGTTCATATAGTTACAGTGGTGAGAAAACACAACTATGAGATTTGTAATAACTTAGATTGGGTTGTTAAGAGTTGGCAGAAAACATCTTGATGATGTCGAAACATTATAGCCCCAGTATTTGTTTACTTCCTTATTTTGTTTGGGCATTATATTTCCTATTATTCTGTACTGAATGGTGAAAACTTAGTGGATTTGAAAAGATAACCTCGTGCTCCAACTGTACTGTTCCTCGATCCCCTATAACGATCTATTACAACCACTAGTCTGGCATCTCCCATGGATAAAACGAAGAGTAACTGTCAGTACTCAAGGCTCTTTGAATAAGATTTTATTGAAAATCACCCGGATAAAAAGTCAGCTTTAAGATAGCTGCCATCGTATTCAAGATATAAGGAACGATGTGTCTCATGAATAAATCTATTACACCCCATTATTAGCTTTCTCTTCAGTTATCTGCTTGCCGAAGGTGAACTGCCTGCCGACTGTAAACCAGTGTTACCCCATCTGTTTGTAAAAGTAGCAATTTTGGTTGAAGCTTTCAAATTAGGACCTATTGCTTTGATGTTTATGGTCATGAAGATCATGAAAAGACTTACAAGCTTAGCCATTTGGAGATGCTTTCCGAAACTCCCAGTGTTATAACAATCCCAAAATGAAATTCCTCCAGGTAGATACTGTTGTACTGAGTTGTATTCAGCTGGAGTAGTTAGACGGTATTATTGCACCATAATTAATTTTTATAAAAAGTCCTCTCCCACAATCTTTTTTTCAGGTGTCCTACGAAAATGATCAAATGATTCTTTGTTTGGAACTTAAATCAATAGATACTGCTGAACTCACATAAAGACTACAAGTTTGATAGGTTCACAACATCAAGCACGGTGTTACATTCCCATACTGACAATGTTTGTTCTACACTGATATGGCTGACAAACCTGGATGTTCAAGCTTACCACTCTTTACTGGACTGCCATAGTTCCGTCTTATTTGATTGTGACCATTGTGTTGAATAAGGTAAAAAAAACGCATTAAGAAATGACAAATACTTTGTTCGTATTAATAAACAGAAGAAACTCTTAGTTGCTTGACAATCGTATTTTGATTGTATTTTGAAACATTGGTCAAAATACTTCTTCTTGCTACATGAGCCGTTCGTTTTATTACTGAGAACCGGGTAATCTCTAGTCTTCCGGAATATTTCTTCAGTAACCTGTCAGCCACTAATAAGTGCAGTCGATCAAAAAATAGCAGAAGTACTTACAAAGGTCGTACTACTGCACTGACTTGTAGTTAAATAACCTAGATGATATGTGTCGAATGATTAGGGGCCTGGTCGAGTAACACGGAAATTGTGTGAATAATCAGCTATCATCGAAGTCAAACCTCGTGGTTCTCACCTAACATGGATTACCATTTCTTCGTACAAACATACGATGGCTGCTCTGAAGACCGTAGAACACAAAAGACATTACTACAGAAATATATTGGTAAGAGTAGGCACAAGGAAGAGATTGTGTCCAATACCTCACGAATCAGTCCATGGCGAGCGATTAATTAATGCGCGTTAGTTGTTATTGACATTGAGGAGGATCAGTGAACTGTTCAACCTGACTGCAGGATGAGTTGGCTAGGGTTTGGTGATATTTCGTTGGCCCTACTATATTCCCCACCAGAATTAACGGCCATTTGAATCGGTAACAAGCACGGTGAGGGTAATCGCACGCCATAGGTCTCCAGAGGATGAAGAAATCATTCGGATATAAATGAATTGCGAGACAACTGGATATTCATCGATAGCAACTGACCGGGAAATAGCGAGTAATGATAAATTTGGGAATTTCGGATTTATCGATGCGCCTATAAGTATGATTCGCAGGTTAGTTAAATGTTTGGCTATTTACATTGACGATAATAAGGAACAGTTTAACATTTTAAAGCTCTGCCGAGTCATATTAAAATAAATTAATTTGAAAAGTGATTGAGTTTCTCAGATATCCAGCTTTCAGTTTGCCGCAAGAGTACGATAAGTATACTATCAACCGATACTGACGTTAGAACTGCCATTGACTTAAGTTGGTCTATGTCGTTGACAGTTTACTGTTCACATGTGTTGAATTCCATTTACATCTATATTTAGAAGGTTCACTGAAAGTACAGACGCATAATGGTAAAACAGTGATTTTATCATATGAAGTTATGAATCACTTTGTAGTTAGAGTCTGTAAATCTGATGATTGCTAATGTAATCAGTATGCGTCGTAGACCACAGATCAAGAGTGAAAGTGACTCGGCGAAATTATCTCCACAAGATGAAAAGTGGAGAGTGCCGTATATAAGTTCAATAACTTAACTGAAGAATATCGAAGAGAACATAAGAAATCAAGGGTGTTACTCTGGACTCATACCAATGACATTGGTGCGAAATGCTATTCTATGTTGGGATAGGGACAACAATGTCGTTAACATTTTGCAGGAAACTCGCTTGACTGTGTAGACTGATGGTTCATGCTAATGATAATGCAGTGAGACCACCAACTGAGCTAGACAGGTTTTAGACAATCGAGTATTTGAACAGCCGATTGATCAACCGATATCATTTGTTAGATTACAGCCACGGGGAAACAGAAGGAAGGAAGTTGGAATTGAATAGTCACAGTAGTTGAGGTGTGTCATAATATCACAGCGAAATAACATCGTTCATGAATATATTGAAGGTTGCGCTAAACTTCCGTTTGTGCATTGCTAATGTAACACTTGGATGTGTAAATAAAAACATATACGAATATTATGGTGGGGTTTGTGGATAATTCTATAGGTCGTTTGTATGTTTTCCAAACCCGTATTGCATGTAAATAAAGCGCAAACGAAGTTACCAAAAGCAAAGGCAGAATGAAACTAAAATGTCCGAGGTCAAATTTATAAAACAAACAAGTTCAAAAGGTCAGTAACAACAAAAGCATTCAAAAATCAGTGAAATTATTAATATACCACATGATAGTTTTTAATTAGTTAAATATTTTCAGTTCTTCTCATAACATCCACTTCATGAACTACCTTAGGCCAAGTTACTGGAAGTCATATGTGGAAAAATTGTTTCAAAGGACTGATACCAGTATTAAGTAAAGCGATTGACATTTTGACGTGATGGAGGATTTGGACCTGATTAACAAATTAATGAGCTGTTGTTACGTAACATTATACAATCTTCTGACGTTCCGTGTAGAAACATTTGTAGAAGTATTGCTAGCGTTAGTGGCTGAACTCCTGCACTTGATGATGATAGAAATGTTTCAAATATCCCATATTCAATGAAACCAGGAATGATGAATCACAAAGTTCAGGGATATATTCGAAAGATACTCGATGCGTCGAGTACTATATGGTGTAAGCTAAGTAGCTGTTGTAAAGGATGCTCAACATAGAATACCCAAACGTGATTTGCTGAGCACAGTTGACCGGGCGCCATCAGAAAGGGTGTGTCCACTAAAATAATGAGGTCAAAATTCAATATCAAAGGCTTGCAGGACTACTTATTATGGAGGGTTACAGTGGCTTTATACTCAATCATCCTGTCGAGTTTAAATTTCAGGCTTTTATCTTCAAGGTGATCTGACAATGAAATTATATGTGAAGATGCAAATGACTGTATTACATATAACGTAATTACACACTTAAACAATAAATAAAATTTCCTGACAGGAATTTATTAATTTTTGGTATGACTGAAGCTTGGTTAGCCGAGAGAAATAAATATAAAGTAAAAATTCATGAATTAATCTTTCATACGAGATTGTGTAACTGAAGAAGCAGTATTCAGTGTGCGATTTCGGATGACTAAGAGTTAGTGGAGAAGATTTGTAGCTCAGGTGGATGACTTTGGTGGAGTTCTGTTCTCTGAGCTGGATGGTTTGGTCGTGGAGCTCTCATCGTTCTTCTGAACGACATCCATATGTGTTTCAAAGCTTGTTCTGTGCACCTCGATGTTGATTGGTTCTTATTGACCTTAAATTTGTCGTTGTTTACTTCTTTGTTTTGGTTGTGTCTCCCATCGTTTTGATTTTTGTTCCTATGTTTGTGCATGATTTTTCTGATTGGTTGATAAATTGGATTGATTTCAATATGCTTGTTGATTGCTGATTGACCTGAGTGCCAGGCTTCTAAAAATTCTCTGGTGTTTCTGGAGTTTCCTCTGTCTAAGATTTCCACATTTGTCCAATCGAATGGGTGTCCGCAGTTGTCCACGTGTATTGATATAAGTGAGGAGATATCATGGCGTTTGACTGCTAATTGATGTTCATGTAGGCTCAGGTAAAGGAGGCGTCCACTTTGTCCGATGTAGTGTTTTTCGCAGTTGGCACAATTTATTTTGTAGATGATGTTTGATTTGTTTTCCTTTGTTATTTCATCAGAAGAACGGTTACACAATCAACTTCATCAAAAAGTACCAACCGCACGCAGCATTAGAACTCAAGTCAAGCACAAAAATCAACAAAAGGATTGCCCTACCATATATACAAAGAATATCAGAAACCGCAACAAGACTGCTGAAAACCTTCGGAATAGGTGTAGCACACAAACCGACAAAATCACTACAATCAATCAGCAATCGTTCAAATGTTCCGGAAACCTTACTTCCCTCCCAGAACGCGTTGTTTTAGGGAGTTTGTCATATACTGACAAAGTGTTTTCGTGTTTGTTGATTATCAAGTGAGATTTCATAATTATGAGAGTTGTCTTTCAAATGTACTGTAGGAAAATTAACATAATTAAGGTCTTCTTCTAAATACGCGACTTTAAGACGACCAATGCTGACGTTGTCGTTGGTTTCGTTTTTAATGGTAATATGGTATTGAAATTTACGGTGAAGCACTACAAAGGGTCCTTCGTATGCTGATTCGAGAAGTCGTCAAAGTGAGTAGCGACGTACAGACATGTGTACTATATCATGAGTCAGGTTGAACGAAAACACCAGTTGATTTGAGTCGAGTGAAAACAGGTTTTACTGAACGCATAAGCTTGTAAGCATGCTCGTTTGGAAGTTAGGATCCACATTCGTTGAAGAAGGTCATTGATCCACGAATTCTCTTGAAAGTCGGAATGTCGTTCCGTACATCAGTTGTGCTGCAGATTATCAAAAGTCGGCTTTCGTTGCGTTGCGAATATCGATTAAAGCGAGTGGGAGAGCATCGGTCCACTGTGGAACGTTTGCAGCTGATAGTGAAGCTTTTAGTTGTCGGTGAAAGCACTCTACCAAGCCGTTTACTTGTGGGTGGTAGACGGTCGTTCAGAAGCGAGTGATTCCTAATAGTGTGGTCAGACAACGGAAAAGTTCAGATTCGAACTGGCGTCCACGATCTGTAGTGATGGTTAAAGAGCAGCCGAAGTTTGCGGCCCATCGTTCGGCGAAGGTGAGGGCCACTGTTTCGGCAGTAATGTCCTTGATGGGCACTGATTCTGGCCATCGAGTGCAACGGTCTACGCAGGTCAAAAGATATGAGTATCCATTTGAATCTGGTAAAAGTCCTACCAAACCCATGGAGTGTTGCAAGTGTCTTACAGCACAATACATGGCTAGGAGTTGCGTACCGAAAGTGCTACACCTCGATTTAGTGCCTTGCACCTGTATCGAGAAGAATGCCAAAGTTTGCCAGTTATCGTTCACTCGTTGTTCTAAGACTCCTCTGATTACCGGGTCGAATGCGTCTACTGCGATACTAATGGGTGCTTTGATATTCTGGTGTAGGAGCATAGCTGCGTTAGCCATAACTTCCCTGGCTGTGAAGAATGCTTTTTCCACCATGTCGTCCAAATTGTTGAGCTTTCACGAGGTTGGCCTGTTGAAGGTCTCATGAAGGACACACAATTCGGTATGAGCCGTTCATGAAAACTTGCCAGACTGTTGAACGTACTTAATTGCTTGGCTGTGGTCAGTTCTTGGTAATCCAGAATAACCGCCACTTTGCTTATCAGAGGGCGGATAACCTAAACATCAATAGCGTGTTCGGGAAAATTCGAATACTCGGTGCCGATTTAATAGTTCTGAATTTTTATAGCTATGCCATGTTTTTGGAGTCGTTCGAAGACAAGGTCCAGATACTGAAGATGAGATTAATCTGCGGAAATTGTGTGCAGCATTTCTTAAACCTACGGGCATGCGAAAAATCCTGTAGAGGTCAAAAAGGGTGACAACAGCGGTTTCAGGAATGTCTTCAGTAGCTATGTGAATTTGGTTATACGCATTTACCAAATCGATTTTCCAAGAACCAGCCATATCTTTCACGATCAAATAGTGAATGCGCGGCAGCGAGTTACGACCGGGATATTTTTTCTTATTTAGTCGCCTAATAGTAATCAGTCGAACGCGAATCATTGCTGCCCTGTTTAGGGACCATGTGCATAGGAGATGCCTGGATGATTTCTCAGTCTGTCATGTGTTCAAATTGGTTTTTGGCCAATCTTAGCCTTCCGGTAGCTAATCGGTGCGTTTTCGAGAGTAGAAGTAATCCTGTAGTTTTTATGTGGTGTGCAACATTGCTGGTTACACACGGTAACTTTGTTCGTGTACGGTACAGTTTGGAGTACTTGTCAAGTATCTGTTGATAGAATGGTCGATCATATGTCTTATATTCTCATAAACATAGTTCTCTTTATTATCTTAAAGAGAGCAATAACGGAGATTTGGGCCTTATAGTTACACAAACAGATAATTTAGTATTTCTACCTACTAACCTCCGTTTGCACGGGTAGATGGTTAGATTATGGTGTATGTACCTAGGTATGTACCAATAATTGGCATCTAAACATCTGCAACAACAAAGATCCATTGAATTAGTTTGCTCAAACCCATATTGAGATAAACATCTATAACTCTATGTGGCAGTCAGTGACCAATTTGCCACCTGTAAGTTGAAAACCGAATAATGCAGTCGTTCGTTAGGATTTGCAGAAAGAACGGCAATTTCTGCGCTGTTGTCGACGAGGTAGCAAACTCTCATCATCACACCGGTGATATACAACAGACGGCCGTGTTCACCCTATGCGGTTGCCATTAACGCGTGCCGGTGGGTAAGTTTCCGAAGAGTTCTTCGTGTCAGAAGGTTTGAAGATTGGGAAACTGCAGGATTTTCTGTAATTTGTAGAAGACTTACCATGCTTATTTTGGTTACAACACCAATCAGGATTATCTACCGCTTGTGGTCTAGAGACAGATTGTTTTCGCGAGGAGCTTGGGAGCATCTACGAAAGCGATGAATATTTAAGTAACAAGTAAGAGCATGATAGAGGTCTGTGACGTCATTTTGTGTTGGCTGAGGCTTTTTGTTGACAGAAAAACCTCGAAGTTAGGAATTCTGGTGATCTTCAGAATACGGTCTTCAGGTGAATTCAGTTCGTCTATGGAGTTATTTTGAAATGAGACAAGAACTACCTGCATATATTTGGACAAGATTAGACAAGAAGAGCTGTCTAAACAGGCCGTTATCATAGACCCGTTCACCAGCAATTCCTCACATATGTAGCAACACTTCCTTTGCTGAGCCATGCTGCGGGAGAAATGGTCTAACCTTTGTCGGTCTGTTAGGTCTCCACGACTAAAAATACCCTTCTTCAGTGTGCTGTAAAGTTTGGAAGCATCCTTAGTGAAGATATCAGGTGTAACGTACCTGTTAAAATTGTACGTGGTAGTGCCTTTATAGAATTACGTTCTAAGTTCGCTATTAGTGCTGCTCTAATAATAGACGTAACCCTAAAATTGTAGATTTGTCATGATATGACTACCTCACATAATTGTTTACACTGACTTATCGTATCTTGATAGTTAGCACTATGATACTTGGTACTTTTGAAGAACACAGTGAGGCAAAAGATAGAACAATATAATTAAAGTGAATAAAAACATGTTATACAGAATGTCCACGTCTGCGAGGTTAAGCCATGCCATTCGACTGAATCGAATATTTCCGCGTTCACCACTCTTGGTCTTCTCTCCGTGTTGAATGTTGAATATATGTTTTTCCAGTTATCTCATGTTCAGCTTTGAAGATTGTGTGGTTACGATCAATACCACTAGACCTTCCATATTGCGAGGAACTATGCACGTGGGTCTGTCACAACGTGCTCGTGGAAATCAGCTTCTGGGTATCAGAACCAGGCTTCTTTGTGGTTGGGCCAGAATAGCATGATCTGAAATGTGGGAGGGGGGCAGAAATAGTCTTCATCCCAAAGAGCTTAAATGTCTAGACCGTCTTAATTAAGACAAGATATACCAATGAACAGGAGAAAAATATACGAAAATGCCTAAAAAAAATACTGCAATATGTAGAAGCGAAAATTCAAAACAATTACATTTTATGTTTGAGGTTTGATAACACCTTTACACGTAACGCCTTTATAGACTTAGTATGCTAACTCAGTCAAATCAGAAGTCAGAAATAAAAGGGGTTAGAAGATATATATGGAAGGCTACCAATAAGTCTAGTGTTAGGTCCAAGCTGGCTAATAGCTGAAAGGGATGCGTGGCGCGGCGCACACACTCGTGGTCTGGTGAGGATGTATGACCGAGAACTTTCAGTTAAATGCGGTCGGCAAAACTAATGAGGTCAGCATCAATGCCGATAACTTACGGAACTATTCATTTCGGAAGTTAATTTACCACTAGTAGTATAACGAGGTTAAGACGATAAGATATTAACATATCATACTCCTCACATCTTCAAACACTCTGACAGTTAAATGACTTATTTTAGTACCAATTTACACTTGAGAAGGTATCCATTTAGGATAAAATACTAATGAGCTAGCACCAAAATACGTACGAATGTTTTCATGATGTTTTTATTATTACTATTATTATTATTATTATTAATGGCTGGATCAATCAACTGCGGAACTGATTACCAGAGGTGATATTAACGGCATTTTATGCAAGATTTTTCAAACTAAGGTTTGATATTAACTTTAATTTAGTAGGAGCTCAGGAACAGGTTACTCTTCTACCATATTTTTGTAATAACTACTTCAATTTAGCCCATCTTCAGGAAGAAGATAACAAAGTTCATACCTCTTCGGTATCGAAAACGGTCTCTTACCATCCGGACACAGATCGCAAGAAACAAGTGGTGTGCTAATTCTCTGAAATAAAATTTTACGTTTCAGTGTTCCAAACTTGCGCGCGTTCGTGTTATTGGTTCTTGGCGTGTTTATGAACTATGACGGAGTGGGTATTCCTATTTCATGAATGGGTTGTCTCACTGTCACATGTAGTTTATAACTCAGCAATTTGTATTAAAGGGGTTTTGGCACATTTTTGATAAAAATTCTATAAGTGTATATTGAGTTACTGGAAACTAGTTCATAATCCTATTTTAAATGCCCGAGCTCCCAATTTTGTGGAAAATTTGGGGAAGCCGCTATAGTAAACATTGGGGTAATTTCGGGGAAATGGCACCAAAACCCCGACATTTCCCCAAAATCTCCCTTTAACCCTGGTCATCTGACTTTGTGGGTTTCCCCAAAATTTTCGCAAACTTGGGAGATTGGATGATTTAGGCAGTAGTGATTTTGTTGTTTGACAAGGTGGAATTCGAAATAATGTTTAGTATATCTTGAGTTGATACATTTTCATTTGTTCTATTGATGTACTGACCAGATGGTAGAGGGACTCCTAAATGTTAACATTCAAGTGTCGTATTTGTGTACATAAGTACATTCGCACTTGATCATTCCTGTGAATTAATTTTTCTAATTATCCGACGAATAATTTGCGGTCGCCAAAATACCTATCGTCTACTTCAGTTCCACGTGATATCCGGTAAATTTGGTGTCAGATTATGTCGTTACGACGTGTCTCTTAATTATTTAATTGTTTTTATATATTTATTCGGGCACATGAATATTGGTACAAAGGGGCATCAAACACAAGCCCCACACAACAACAACAAGAATGTGAAGAAATAAGGAGTGTAGAGTGCGTATAAGGAAAAGGAGAACAATAACGAACAATAACTAGTGTGAGTGAAATAATGATTGTTGGGGAGACATTTCGGTTAGCAAAAGTACAACCAGAGAGAATTTTGGTTAAAGAACGTTCATTCTTTTATGAAGAAAGTAAAAGAAAGATATAACAGGATCTCCACTGGCTTCTGTTCTGAGCCATGTCTGATAACGTCTCAAGTCAGTATTGCAACATCTCTAGGACCCCAAGCAGGGAGTCGTGAAGGGCCAATAGAAACCAGTCCTGTACAGCTTTCTATCATACCGTGTCATACACTGACCACCTCTCCGCTATTTCCAACCAGTCCCAGAGTCGGCAATTAATGCACGACGTGAAATTCTTTGGGATGACATTCGTAGAACATGTCCAAGCCACCGAAGTCGATGTTTCAAGATGGTAACACCAATTGCATTATCGTCTCTGTGCCCGAACACACGATGCCGAACCTCTGCATTACTGACATGGTGTTACCACTGGATGCCAGCAATCCTTCGGAGACAACGATAATCAAACACGGAGAGTCGTCTAACATCCTCAACTCAGAGAGGCCAGGTTTCACAAGTATTGAGTAGAACTGCTCTCACCAACGCGTTGTAGATCCGACCTTTTACAGACAGACTGACATCACGAGGGAGCCAAAGATGGCTCAGATTGACGTAAGCAACTCTGGCTCTCACTATACCTGAATTGGTCTCATCACTCACATCACTACCAGCACTAACACAGCTACCCAGATACACGAACTTCTCGAATACTAGTATTCGCTCACTACCCAGGGCGAGTGCAGGATTAGAATCCTGCAAGTCTTGTAAAAGTACTCCGTACTTCGAAGGTGCAAAGCATATACCATACCTACGGACACTAATTGTCGACTGATTAAGTGCAGTTTGGGCACCCGGGCAGACCTCACACATATCAAATGAGATGTGTGGCGCATATATATTTGGTGCCTCCGTGTACCAAGATCTGTGTGTTAAAATAAATAAATAAGTGCGGATTGCATGGCTTGGATATCGTTTCAGTACGACAATATCATTCCCATACTCAAGGTCGAAGTCTTTCTCCAGTCAACATCTACAACACCTACATCCATCAGACCTGTTTGCAGAAAGTTATCGATAGCAAAGTTGAAGAGGAGTGGTGAGATTGGAGAACCCTGTCTAACCCCACTGCTTGAGTAGAACAATGGGGAGGGAGGTGATTGTTTGCTCGTATCTGCCCTAGGTGTTTGTATACAGGGCTTTTAAGATGTTAATAAACTCAGGTACACTCTTAGTTAGACAATCTCAGAGAACAGTCCTGTCCAACGAATCGAAGTTGGCCCTAATGTCTAAAGTAATAGTTTGGTTTTATTGCTTAGTCTCTTGTCTGACACCGCTTATAATCAACATAGAGCGTCATAGCAAGCAGTTCCGTGGTTATTTTGAAGTCATACAAATTGAGGCTATCTCTAAAAATGTACGCTTCCGAATCGGTTATCTTAAGGTTAACATTCCCACTTTTGAGTTCTAGAAATAAAATGCGTGAGGCGTTAGAAGCAAAAAAACAATAATTGAGCTAACAGGCCAAATCGTTTTGCTATGCAGTGTTTGTTTTCTAAAGTAGGTATCCTCAGACAACTTGTAAACTGTGGTATGATTGGGGTTCGTAGGATGCTGGATGTGATGTTGTATCAATGGAATCTTATCTAAAGTAGCTAAATGCTTAATATATGGATCATAATGTCAATTATTTTATGTTAGGCTCCTTGATGTGACTATTTTAGTGTTTCGGTGTAAGTCCTAACTAGACAATAAAATTACTTACTCAATTATTGTTTGCTTATTCGTAATGTTTTCAACTCATGCATCAGTTAGAACACATACTGACGGTTTGGACATTTGTAAAGCACTATTATGTCACATTTTCTCATATTATGAGCTACAATACGTACCTTTTGATTTCAAACTTATGCTACCTATCTATTCGCAACAGTATACGTTTGTTAACATTAGAAATATGTTTTATGTGATTCATAAACCTCATTATAACAAGGAACTACAAGAACTAACAAGCCTTCGCTGCCTCTCGAAGTGAGACTGATTACGTTTCAGTAGCTCTTCTATTAAAATTCAAAGTTAATTTGGAGACCGAGATATAGATTACGGGAAACAAGGCAAAATGTTAGATTAGGAATGCCTCTCTCAGTATATCACACTGAAAAGTTCTAGGTCTTTTTAGACCACATTGTAGGTCAATAACCATCAGGTATTTTAGTTATAAATTTTAGAGAGTTCGTCTCTAGATATTATCTAATACTCACTTATCGTTTTGTTTAGTTTTTCAGTTAACAATCTTGAACCATCACGAATGTTCTCCCTTTCGATGATACATTATTTTATTAATAATGGTAGAATTTATTGATGCGGTGTAAGGAAGGATCTTGGGCCGTACTACCTAAATTTCCAAATGAAATCTGTAGATGTTTCAGTTAAATCCACTGCTGAACCATTGCTTCCACCGAATTTGGCTGGATTTGTGTGTGGTGGCATTTCTGGAACAGTTTCTCGAACAGTTACAGCACCTATGGATCGTTTAAAAGTCCTCAGGCAAATGGAAATTCCAGAAATCGTAGGTAAAAACATGGTTTCAAGTGAGTGTTGATGGTTTTAAATATATTTTACGCTTAGTGAGTTTTGTCATTTCAAAGTCTTTAAATTCCTTTATTATTCTGTATTAATAATGGTCTGTGTCATACCAGTTTTTACATGTTCCTAGATACAGTGTATTAGTTGAATAAACCCTTGCTTTCGGTTGTCATCTATGGGGTATACGGTCGTTATTTTTTCTGAAGATATTTGACAATCACCTGTCTAGCTAAAGCTTCATCTATTAGACTGATATCTAGCGTCATTAGTCATTGATCTAATTGACTTCGATAGAGTCAGTAAAGAATTTTTAAGAATATTAATCTCGACTTCTACATATCCCCCCTTGACCCGCTTGTCTTTGACCGATCTATCCTTTTTATATGCCGTTAAGTTATCTAGTTCTCCCAACTTGCACACTGTCATGCCGAAATACTTCACCACTTATAAAGCCCATTTAGGGGTACTCTAACCCCTAAATATGTTGTAAGATTTTTCTACACAATTTGAAGCTTGATACTTTTCTCACTAATCCTCAGATGCTATATGGTCACCATTTGTATTCCATTTGTAAACTAGTCTTTCTTTTCATCACCTTATTTCCAAAAACATGAATATGTCTACTTTATGACTAATAAACTTGATAAATCTTATAATCTTTATCAAGTTTTTGATAAGAGTGGAAAAACAAAGTTTTCCTAATTCACTGTTTATGGTAAACATCAGGAACATCTATCCAAGTAGTATCAATTCCACTCAGTTCTTAAGTTCAGTGTATATCTTTCGCACTTGTATTTAAACTCATCATGTTAAGTATGGACAAAATTATTATCCCTATTGTTGTATTTCTGCCCATACACCTAGAATGAAACCTGATCACGTTGTTTTTTCTCTACTCTGCCCTGGATTTAATAAGTCAGTTGTATATTCCCATAATTTAATTTTTATTTCGAGCTATAGTCCGTCTTTAAGTCGTTTGATGAACTTGGCGGACTAGCCATTCCTTACAGTTTTTATCAGCTCATAAATCCTGAGTTTATCAAGTGGTCACTGACGAAATAAGGTGGAGACTTTGGTTTCCTGTCCAATTTAGTTTTACTTTGAGGATTCCAAAGTCTATATATGTGCAGCTTAATAGATTTGTGAAATATTCGCATATGTTAAAGGCAATTGAATTAAACCTTGTGTTTAAAAAAAGGACATCTGTCAGTAACAGTTATTTTCTACTGTGTACAGCAGAAATCTGTATATTTATTATCAAGGTACTTTTATCTTCTATGATATTTCTTAGGCTTGCGTATAATGATCAAAGAAGGTGGCATTCTGTCATTATGGCGAGGTAATGGGGTGAATATTTTAAAAAACTGTCCTGAAAGTGCTATTCGCTTTGGTCTTCACGGGTGGCTTAAGTCAGTAATTTTTCCTAATGTGAAAGGACCACTACCTCCAGAAGATCGTTTGTTGGTAGCTAGTTTGTCTGGTGCCACATCGTTAACAATAACTTATCCAGTTGAGGTAAGTCTAATCAAAAGTAAATAGCATAATCTTTATTTCGATTGATAATTCATCAATTTACACAATATTACAAGGTTAAATTTATTGGTAATTTGTTTGTTAGGATGAATATGTTTAACCCAATAATCAATCATTGGCTTATTTAATGGACTGTGAATCACATTTATTGTGAATATTTTATTCATTAGCTTCATTTTCAGGTTGACATATGACTGAGATCTTATCATTTTACAACTTAGGCAACAAACGATAAATTTATAAAATATTCTAGATCTATCGTAGGTGAAACATAATGACGTTAATCATAAACTCAATGCAAAAGTAGTTATGAGATAGGGTAACATACTCAGTGCTTGCAACAAGGTGAAAAATAGAGTACATTTTAAACCTCTCATTGATTTTTGTTTATGTCAGCTAAAGTTTTCCGCCACTGATTAGACAGTTACTTTTAACAGAATGGAGCAGTCAGTCATAGTCAACATAGTATCTGGTGTAAATGGACATCAGCTTAAGTTCCCATCCTACGTCATCACAGTAAGATGAAAGCAAGAAGATAAATGCCAAAAGCCAAAATAATAGTGGTATCATTGGTAGTGATAAACACCAAATATATGTCATCAGTAAATTCTATTTAAAGAGTCGTCTATGGTAAAATTCCACAATTACAGGAGATACTGTCCTAATAATTGTAATAATAAAAAGAATCTAAGTGGTATTATTACTTATCGCCATAGTAAAGGCAAATATTATTTTTGATACTTTAAAGTCGCTTATCCGAAATATACGTCTGATTTTAGATTTTAAAAACTCGAATGGCTCTGCGTAGGTCACATGAAGCCAATTCCATATTTTCTGTAATCCGAAAACTACATAATGAGGGTGGTTTCCGAGGATTTTATCGAGGCTACAAAATCAGTATGATGAGTTACGTGCCATATTCTGGAATGGAGTTATGCCTTTATGAGGTCAGTTGTTATGTCTTGATTTTCAGTTAGTGAGTTCTATTTTTGATCTACTCTACATTTTCCGTGTTATGGTAAATTACTTTTCACCTTATGCATTTTGGGGTCCTAGTAAATATCTTTCGTAGGAATTCCTCTGGTTCGAAGATCCTGTCGAAATCTTATCACCCCTGTAATGTTGGGCTCCTATGAAATGTTAATCTATGCGATGCTGTAAATCAGCACATAAAAATTTTAAACCACATTTTACATCTAATTAGTTACTAGCTGACAGAGCGACAAAAGCAGAAAATAGATCGGAAATGGAGTGGATATCTTGTTCTACTCTGGTTTTCAGTGTTCCAAATAATCATTGTTATTATTATTTTTAGAAGTTGTCTTCTAAGTCACTTAAAGAATTAACCTGGTTTTCAATATTTCCAAAAATGGTAGATTTATCTGCCTGGCACAGATGTATTGCAACTAATTTTCCTCCGGAACCCAGAAAACGGACAGTAACCGTAAACAATCAGCCAATACTTCAAAAGCTGAATTAACGAGTCGATCTAATCCATATCACCATTGAAAACCTGGAGGTACTGGAAGACTGTATGAGACCCCTCAGCAGTGCTCATCCACGATCCCGAACGTGGGACTCGGACGCTTAACTTCTAGATCATTGAGCCGGCATCCAACGGTGTTAATGGCTGACTCCAATTGATCTTGCACAACCCTCGACTCGTGAAGCGAACTTTAAAAATACTACAATCTCTCCATACTGATAGTCAACGAATAGTTTACAACATTCACGATCGAACAATGTAGTTCAGTAGTTTTGGAATGTTTTGAAGTGGGAAGTAATCTGTTGGATCAACTAAATATACAGTAAAAATAGTCGAATTTGAATTATAGCTATTCTTCATTAAATATTAAACCATAGCAATTTATTTCTCAATCAATAGAACGCTACATTTAACAGTTTACATGTACGTGCCAAAGCACATACATTGGAAGAAAGAACCAAGAGAAGAGTACATGTTCGCATTTCCGAGCATGTTCCAAATGACCTCTGACCTGTTCTTGCACACACATATGTTTTTATTGATAACCTTTGTAATTCCAATTCCTTTGATTTACTTAGTCAGTCAGCTACAACGTAGGACCAGGCACATATGTGCATCGGTCCAGGTTGCCATACCTCATTAGCACAGCAAGATGAACACCGGATTCATAGGAGTGGTTAGGTCAAAGGTTGCAATAAGGATATAGTATAGGAAGAAAGAATTAGTTCGTAGACAGAAAGAATGAAGTGATTTTAGTCTCTTAGTTTAAGGGAAGACAGGGAGTGTATACACCGACGCCATTGTGATCGATTCTGAGCCATGTCACCAAGAGTCTCCAACCATTGGTTACGAAAGTCACGCGGACCCCAACCAAGTAGTCTGCATCTACCAACATGGCTCAGACTAGAAGTTAGTGACTTCAGGCACTGATGCCACGTTTTGGTTTGGCCGCCCCTAACTTTCTTCCAACCATCCCCTACCCCGGTTAGCATTGCACGTCGTGGTAATCGGTGTTCAGGCATACGTAATACGTGGCCCAACCATCTCAGTCGATGAAGATTCATAACCTCATCAACTGATTTACCATCATTCCCTAATACCCTGCGTCTAACCTCACTATTACTTACCCGGTGATCCCAGCAGATGCCAGCAATATTTCTAAGGCATCTGTGGTCAAATACTAGTAACTTACGGGTGTCTTCTACTCTTAAGGGCCATGTTTCGCTGCCGTAAATTAAAACAGAACGAACTGCCGCGCAGTATACTCGTCCTTTTATTGATAGACGGATATCTCGCCTTCGCCAAAGGTGACGTAAGTTGGCAAAAGCCAAACGAGCTTTTCGAATCCGTGCTGAGATTTCATCAGACACCAACCCATTAGGGCTGATCAGACTTCCAAGATAAGTGAAGTTGTCAACGCGTTCAACTACTTCACTCCCTATCCTTAGTTCAGGTGTTGACCCAGACCAGTCCTGAAGCAACAACTTGCATTTAGAGGGAGAGAAGCGCATCCCAAACATTCTGGCATTGTTGCTTAGTGCTACCAGAAGACTCTGGATTTTGTCAGCGTCTTCACCAAACAGGACTATGTCATCTGCGTATTCTAAGTCGATAAGTGGGCCTCCTGGAAGGAGATCAATACCCGAGAATTCAGTCGACGAGAGTGTTATTTCCATCAATAGGTCTATGATGAAGTTAAACAAAAATGGAGAAAGTGGACAGCCTTGACGGACACCACTTGAGGTTGCAAAAGTAGATGACAGTTCGCCATAAGCCCTGACTCGACTAGTAGTTTTCGAGTAAAGAGCCTTCACAAGGTTTATGTACTTCTGAGGTACGCCTTTCAATGACAGACACTGCCACAGAGTCTCGCGGTCTACCGAGTCAAATGCTGCTTTTAAGTCAAGAAATACCACCATCGTCGGACGCCGATAGGTATGCCTGTGTTCTAGAACCTGACGAATGGTGAATATGTGGTCGATGCAGCCACGACCAGGTCTAAAGCCAGCTTGGTTCTCTCGAGTTTGTAGTTCACGAGTCTTAGTTAGGCGTTTGATAATTATCGAGGCCAGTATTTTAGATACTATGTTTGTTAAACTAATACCTCTGTGGTTGTCACAGGATGATTTTGACCCTTTCTTATATATTGGGACGATAAGTGATTGCGACCAGTCAGATGGGATAAAGTCTAATTCCCAGATCTTAGCTAAAATATTAGTCAACTTAATCGCTAAAATTGGACCACCATCCTTAAAGACCTCTGGAGCCAATCCATCTGGACCAGCTGCCCTTCCTCGTTTCAGATTAACTATAGCCTTTTGAACTTCAGCAAGAGTTGGGGGGCCTACTTCAATGTTCCATTCACATTGTCTGGGAATGGAGGGTAGTTGTAGAGTCGCTGAAGGCCAGTTGAACTGTTCCCTAAAGTGTTCCGCCCATCGTTCTAGACGCCTGGACTTGGAGCAGATGAGTGTATCGTCTTTTTCCGATATAATCTCACTTACACTTGACTTATTAATTCCAGTTTCTTTTATTAGTCTGTAAAGCTGTCTTGTGTTCCCTATAGTCGCCGCCTTTTCCATCTCTTTTGCTTTCGATGCCCACCACTGCTTACGGTCGTTTCTTAGACTTTTTCTTAACCTAGATCTGATTTGTTTTCGCTCTTCATCATCTTCAGAACCTGATGGGACGAGTTTGCGAGAATCCATCAGTGTGACAGACCTTGAAGAAATCCACTGGTTCCTTGCAACTCTGTGGTTTAAGTCACTAATAGATGTCACTGCTGTTTCCACAGCTGATTGTATGCCCTTCCAAGCAACATCTGGGTCAGCCTCGTCTTCACAACTACCTAAGTGTGACCTCAGTTGTTCCTGAAACCTACTTTCGGTTTTCTCGTTACTCAACTCAGTTCTAACAGGTCTTTTTAATGTGGCTTTTTTGCGTCCAGTGGGGCGCAAGCAGATGCGTGCCCGTATTAGGGCATGGTCGGAGTCCAAACAGGTACTCCAGAATGAGCGACAATCTTCTACCGACCCTCTCCAACGATGACTGATGGCAATATGGTCTATTTGAGTCCATCGTTGGTTTGGTGTAGGGGGTCGCCATGTTACACGATGTCTCTCTTTATGCTTAAAATTTGTGTTTGCTAAAAATAAACGATTGTCTGAGCATAGTTGCAGCAGACGATCACCATTATCTGTTCGCTGTGTCGGAATACTAAAATATCCACCTAAATGCCTTTCTGTTTGGTTTAAACTGCCTATCTGAGCATTAAAATCACCTGCTACGAGTACTATGTCTGAGCGTTTAGCTTTCTGAAGAAGTTCGGACAGCTTTCTGTAAAATTCATCTTTCATTTCATGTGAGCTGCAGTCGGTGGGAGCGTAGTCAGAAACGACAAAAAGGCAACGACGTGTGTCCCTATCCTTCCGAGTTCTTACGGAGCCATTTGCTCGAACAGCACATAAACGACTGTTGACGGGGATCCACTCTAGCAGTGCTTGTTCGGCCCTCATGCTTAGTGCTATGCCTACACCTGCCAGTCCACGAGAACTTACCATCGGGTCACCAGATACACGAAGGGTGTACCTCGTTGGCTCTCCGTTTTGCCGAGGTGAGGTCAGGTGAATGACCACACTGGAATCCTGTATGCGTGTTTCCTTGACACAGCACAGGTCAATGGTAAGAGACTCTAGGGTTTTAGCCAAGGAAGCCTGCTGACCGATTTGACATAGGGTTCGTACGTTGAAGGCTCCAATGTGTAGTTTGGAGCGAGGTTTCAGTAGACCTGGGACAGTATTTTGCGCACTAGAATCGTTGACTATGGTGACACTTGAGGTGGAAGCCGAGAGAGGAAATTTAAAGTTGAAAGTCGATGTAGGAGGAATAATAGGAATTGAAGAGGAAGGTTGATTATGAATACAGTGGTCTTGAGTGCTGTTAGAGGTATGAGGGCGGTTTTCACTTCCCGGTTGCCCACACCGTGGAAGGGTTGTTTTGGAGGTACCTGAAAAGGAAATTGGATTAGAGGTGGTCTTAGTGACCTGAGAGCGTGACCGCAGTGCCCAAGGGACAACTGCTTGAGGTCGGTCACACACGACCTTGTTATGGGTAATTTTTGTGTTAGCTCCGTACTTATTGAGACCTTACCGCCGGAGACGGATATCCGTGGGATAAGGCGAGGTGTGCATTTTTAGGGTCGACCTTTTCTAACCCCACCCCTCCTTGTGGGAAGGCAGCATCGCTGTCATGCTGGTTGTCTGAAGGAAACACCTTACTGCTGTCACACCTCTGTACAGTCAGCAGTACGACTTCGCCTTCGGACCTTGGGTTTGTTGCTTTTAGTCTTACCGCTCTTCAACCGACCTTTCTGACATGGTAGGACCTTGAGGAACGGTTGTTTCAGCCAGTATAGCTCGGTTGCTTCATCACGATAGGCAAGCCCGACCACCACGTCAAGGTAGCAACAACGGTCGGGTTGATTTACTTATGTCAATTGTTTCACACTATATCTTACCTCAATGTAAATTTTATCGCATTTGTTTGTAAGCTGATGAGAAACCACGAAATATAGTGAATTCACGTTATTCTGCATCCATGTTCGTTCTGGCTTTATTTAAATAGTACGCTACTTATGCGGTTTTTTATTCTACACGGAGTGTGTTTATTTCCGCGTAGTTTCGAACTACAAATACCTAGCTGCTTAAGTTTTTTTCTGTTTTGACTGGTTGATTAGATAATATAGTCTGATTATAGAATAATTATATTTTCTGTGGAAAAAGGAAATTAACACTGGCAAGCCAGAACTGAAAATTTACTTCATATCAGATCCAAAGCCTTATCTACTAGTTTTCTTCAAGCACCATACCATAAAGTTTCTGAAACAACATGTTTAGAGTATACTTCTTTTCCATCGTATTAGAGTTATGTCTAACTCAAATTTTTCCACATGTGCTTTATTTTCAGATGCTTAAACAGCGTTATGTAGAGTATCATTATTTCCTCCAGCCTAACACAGATCGTACAATGAAGGTTCATATGCCAGCTATGGTAACTGTTCCATTGATTTTAATATCTTGTTGTATTCCAATGATGATTACTTATCCAGCCAATTTACTTCGTACTCGATATCAAGCATCACCATCTCCGTCTGCTGCTCCTATTATCAAATCTTTGTGTTCCATTGTACAGAAGAATGGGTTTAAAGGACTTTATCGTGGGTTAAGTGCTAGTTTGTCAAAAACTGTTCCATCTGTTTGTGTTACTTATCTTGTTTTCGAATTTACCTCTGAATTGTTTGGTGTTCCTGGACTTGGTTGTAAGTAACAAATTCGTAAAATTTGGTGCTCAATTTCTAGAGAAATCAATTAGATGAATTTATCGTACATCCATAAATTTGTATCTTGAGTTTTTCTTACACAAGAAAATTTTTCAGTTGAATTTGATTTCTTTTCCTTCGATCAACTAAAATTTAGGACTGATTCATCTTGTTTTCGGTCATGATGTTGACATATTGAAATGTCTTTCAGTAAGTCTTAATCTAGTTTAGTCAATGAATACCGATAAACGATTATTGTGCTTTAGCTGTAGTTTTTTAGAGTATAGTTAAGCCGATGTATATCAGGAGTAGTGTGATTCTTTCTCCACTTTCTTCATTTTTTCTACACCCTTTACTCCTAAATTTGTTTTTAGTTGTATATTAATGAATTCGCGGTAGTTACCAATCATTCTTATTCTCGTGTGTCGCTATTCACCGCAGATGTTTCTTTCATTTTTCTGATAGCCTGTCGGTTTTTCTTCTCCTTTGTCACTTAAAGTAAACCAGTTGCCTCTGGTTACATAATTTTCCTTTCTTTTTCAGGTTTTTGTGTTTGTGTTGTCTATCCATTTAGTGGATATAAAATGATCAGTATTTTTATCAAACATTGTATCAGTAAAAAAATTGTATTTAGTTTTCTTTTCAAGATTTTTACAACAATATTCATGTTAGTAATCATAAAAATACTTTTATGTATATTGTTTGAAGCAAATGTGTAAATAAAATAACTACCTAGATATCTAAAATTCAGCGCTAATTTTCCATGATCTTCATATTAATCGGGCAATACATTCAACTTTGGATGCAATATTGTCAATAAATTAATATGTCACTTCCAACTTCTCTAGCTCTTTAGGTCATAACTTTTTCTTATAACTTCTTGAAATGCATCTCAAAACTAGTTAACATGCACTTGTTATCAAGTGACTTTAGTTTGTACTATCAATTACTTCCAACAATACAAAACTACCTTACTTGATCAGATAATTTCAGTCCATAATGGTTGTTAATAACAAGAATAATAAGTGACAAACAGCGTTTCTCTCCTTCTAAATGCAAATTGTTGCTTCAGGATTGGCTCGCATCAACACCTGAACTAAGGATAGGAAGTGAAGTAGTCGAACGCGTCGACACCACTTATTTTGGAAGTTTGATCAGCTCTAATGGGTTGGTGTCTGATGAAATCTCTTCAGGAATTCAAAAAACTCGTTTGGTTTTTGCCAACTTACGTCACCTATGGCGAAGACAAGATATCCTCCTATCAATTAAGGGACGAGTATATTGCACAGCAGTCCGTTCTGTTTTACTTTACGGTTGCGAAACGCGGCCATTAAGGGTAGAAGATACTCGTAAGTGACTGGTATCTGGTCACAGATGTTGCTCGCGTTTGCTGGGATCACCGGGTACGGTAAGTAATAGTGAGGTTAGACGAAGGGTACCAGGGACTGCTGGTAAATCGTTCGGTTAGGTTGCGAATCCTCATCGACTAAGATGGTTGGGTCATATGTTACGTACGCCTGAACACTGATTACTACGACGTGCAATGCTGACTAGTGTTGGAGACGGGTGGAAGAAAGTTAGGGGCGTCCAAACTAAAACGTGGCATCAGCTCTTGAAGTCACTAACCTCTGATCTGAGCCATGTTGGTAAATGCAGACTATTTGGTTGGGGTCCGCGCGAGTATCGTAACCAGTCGTTGGAAACTCTAGGTGACATAGCTCAGAATTTATCACAATGGTGTCGGTGTATACACTCTTTGTCTTCCCTTAAACCATGAGATTAAAATTACTATTTTTACGAACTAATTATTTCTTCCTGTATTATATCATTATACAAAATCTTTCTTTTATACATTACTACCATTGAAGTAACTACTTTATGAATTTGGTGTTCATCTTGTTGTGCTAATGAGGTATGGCAACTTGGACTGATGCATATATGTGCCTCGTCCTATGTTGTAGATGAATGACTGACTGATACACTGCAACTATCCAATTCCTTTAGTTAGCGAGAAAGATCTTTGTGTATAAGAAAAGTAAAAGCTGGAAAAGTGAAATTTCGGTAATGATTCCTAGAAAATACATTCTGAGCGAGAGTAAAGAGTAGTTGGAAGAATGTCTCAGAGTATTTCTGTGAGATTTTATTCACTAGATGAGATAATATACTCACAATTTAAAAGTACAAACATAATTATTATAATAATAAATATTTTTGTGATATGTAAATGAGTAGAAAATTGTATTTCTGACGTTTCTTGACTTAATGTAAATCATGGAACGTCAGAAATACAATTTTCTACTCATTGAGATACCACAATATATTTACTATTTTACTTCCTACCCGGTGCTCAATTTATTTGAAGCTGTCAAGTCCTACCTTGCCATTAATACCTATAGTTATTACGACAATCAGTTAAGTTTATTTAAAACAGTATCTATAAACAACTGTTTTCAAAAAATAATTGGTTTGTATTACTAATTGTTAGTATTTTCATTAGAATAACTCATTGCCTTTAATAACCATAGTATTAGCTAGTAGATTCAAGTTTCAACCGGTATTTGTTGGGAATGTTAAATCCATAAGTATAGCATTGCAAAGAAAATACATATTGAAGTAAAGTGATTCCCATTCGCTAATTAATCCCATATGAATCTCCTTCCTTGATTTCCAGTGCAGTGACGATCACTTAGTTTGCTAAACTTTTGTAGTTAGTACTAATTGAATTAGTCGATATATCATGGGAAATGCTTTGTATTGGTTACATTTACGAAGTAATTAACAAACTGTGTTATATATTTATATATTCCTTAATGTTTCCGTTAATTCTGTGAATAATATCCAAGTATTACTGCTTTGTTCTTTCTGAATTAAATTAGCTATTTGACATCATGGCTATTACCAAAAATTTTAAAGTATTCAAAGTTTCTAGTATTATTTAAACGGTCATATGCTATATAGACCTCTGGTAATTTGTCCCAACACTGACATTTAATGTCCCAGTAATGCTTGGCTATCTACATTTCTTTATTTCTTTGTAACACAATAAAGTCGATACTTTTGAATAACTATGTTGCTTTATTGTCACTGCTTTTCTATCTGTTGCACTGATGTCTGGAGCTGCAGTTGATTTTCTCGAACAAGTGGGTTTGGATTAATGGATTCGTTGTCATTTTGCATTTCTCTTACTATCCACTTACAAATCAGTTATATGTGCTAAAAGTTGTTTTATGTCCTATTAAACCTTACCGAGTTGATCATCGTCAATAGTATGAGTAATTCTCTAAGTTTATTGAATAATATTGGTCTTTAATACAATATTCATTAATTGTCATTTAACATGATTAGGTCATCTCATTAGGTAGCCGATTTGAACCCTACTTCACGTACATCAGTTTTAGAAGTCGTTTGAAATTGTAGCGGCTTCTACGTTATTATATACCCGATTAATCCTAACTCCTGGATGGGCCCCCTAACCCTGTTAACTAGAGGAAGAAGACAAAATTCAGCAGGTGGTATATGTAATTTCACAAGCAGTACGGAAAAACGAACAACAAGCACTCAACTCATGCTTAACATGTAAAACACAGAAATATCCTTGGAAAGCGTCATAAAACAACGAACTATAAGAGAAAACGAACCCATGACGTCTGAGGTCCCTTCAGGCTGGAAATACAAACTGAAGGCGCGAAGATGAGGAATTCGGATTTCCACAGTTAAAACACGAAAATAAGAGGTTTCTCAAAAGGTTTTTGGTGATCTGGCATCTCCAATATTGATAAAGTGTGTTTTATGTCGTTCGAATTACTGATGGCTCTTAATAATTCAGAAATCTCACAGCAATAATTGTATGATAAAAACACGCTTTTTATGTAGGAGTTTATGGATTTTCTAAATGAAATATTTTTGAAAAATTTATCTACATAATTTTTGATCATTTCGTTGGACGCCTAAGAAATCAAAATTCGTTAACCAGACACACCTAGTTAGGTACGTCTCACGTGATTAACCACGTTTTCAAAAAAAGTTTATTTGATAATTTAGTATTTTTATTCACACATAACTGAAGCTTTCAATATCAGTGATGCTTGATCGATTCAAATAGTTTGTTTGATTGAGTGTTCTTAGTATTTTGAAGTATAAATTAAAAGGACAAAATATAATGGAAACTAAAAATTCACTTTACCTTTGTATGATAAACAACCACGGTTTATTACAGTATTCATAGCTCAATTCATACATACCACTGAGTTATCTTGCAGACTGGTAATATCCTTCAAATAATCAGCCTAATATTATAGTCATTTTAAACTGGAATGAAAACAATACGGTATTAACATTCCATTAAAAAGGATGCTGATTTACAGTAAATATTTCTAACATTTTAATAAACAGTTGAGTGGAATTCAATAAATAATTATTGTAAGAAAACATAATGACTTAATAAATTAGTTTACTCAAGTCACAAACCAAATATTTTAGTGTTTCTCTTATTTCATTGTTTGGCATTATGTAGTATTTGTATGAACTAATGATTCTTTTGTAATTGATGCGTGCCTGATTTTGAATGCTAAGTACAACACATTCGTTTGTACTCACCTAGTTCTGCCTGGTTTAAATTGTGCTATTTCGTGAATTCCTAGTTCGTATAATGATCTGAATACTTCTAGTCATCAAATTTTATTTTGCAAATGAGCCTTTTAAATGAATTCTGATTACCCATTGAATTCTTATCAGTTTTGTAGTATAGCTTTAGTTGACAGGAAACTTTAGAAAGACGATAAGTTTCACGCTAACGTATTTAAAGTTTAATAGATTTTTTTGGACAAACAATTATTAGAGACCGTTTTTACTTCTTTGAGTGTCTTAGTAAAAAAAACTTGGTTATTTAAATTTGCTGAGCCACACTATATTTCATAATAAAAAAGATGAATGGAAATAGATTTATTCACTAAGATTCTACCATTAATTTTTGAGATTATCATAATCGGTCAGGGCAACTGTTTAACAATAGTAAGCTCGTCAACCATAAATATTTTGCTGGTGTTTTTTCAATAGCCCATCTGAGCTTATTCTTGTTTCTGGACAGGTAGTGCACTTTGATCTTATTGGTCATTTTGTAGTGAACAAGAACGCTGACGGGGATAACCATATGCATTTTGATGCAACATTACAGAATATCTTGGTAAAATCTGAGGTCCATCAATTGTCTCAAACTTTGTTGTTCCTTAGTTTCCATACCAACCACTCTCTGTTCTCTTCGAGTTCCTCAACCTTCTGCCGCCAGGCATTCCACTCTCGATTGGTGATACATACTAATTATATCTGTCGACATCAGTAGCACATACCACAATTTCTGTATACAAATATATTAGGCTTTGCTAATTATTAACTTGGAATCGTTATTGACTTTTGTAAATATGTATGTAGTACTACATGTATTTATCTACTCGACTTATAAGAACTGTGTCACTAACATTTTCTGAGTCGGTATTCTATCAAATTTAACAGCGTTATACTTTCGCTGTATCTTTTATTGGTCTTCTTCTGTTTCATGTTTTCGTGTGTAGTGACTCACATTTATCACGAGAACACGACTGGTTTAGTAAAAACAATTATTATTATAACCAACTGTACCAGTGCTTGTTTTAATGTGCTTTTGTTTGACTGTGCTAATGACAGCTATATTGTGCTTCCATTCATATACTTACACTTTGATTGTGACTTCGCGCGAATTCGGTTACGTTCTGTAACCAAGCTTGTATCCTGGCACGATCTCGGTATCCTTTCGATGCCATGAGATCGCCAGCGAATATATCTCAATTTGGTCCATTAACTGTCTTCTGATATTTGGCTTCTCGGGGATTTTATGGATTTCATTGGTTACGTTCAACTTTCGCCTTCTGATGTACTTGGCACGTGTTTCTTGGTAGCAGTGTTCATAGTTAATTTCAACTCGACACCACGCTACACGTGTAT